TTTAGTACAGCTTTCAATACTGGAATAAAAATACTGCAATCTCCAGTACAGCTCTCGATACTGGAATATACTGTACTGGCAGCACGGCTCTCGGTACTGCACTGTACTGGACGTTTTAGTACGCAGTTAAATACTGGAATAAAAATACTGTACTGTACTAAACCTGCCCGTGTAAAATTTTTCCCAGCTCAGTCACGTACACTTCCCTCTCCTTGTACCACGGACGTTCCGCGACTGCATGAACACGGTCTTCGCATTCGAAGCCGCATTCACATTTTAACTCGTCGTCTTCGTCGTCTACCGTCCTATGTCTTCGTCGACGTTCTCAAAGGCCTATGTCCCCGGTCCTGAATTTGACCTTAAGCTTTGTTCCTGCATCCATTGGTCCAAGTAGGTAATCCTTGAACCCGATTCCTTCCTTCAACATTCCGTACACTTCTAGACCCTCCTTATCCAGGTTGCAGGTAGGGGTCGGTGAAACCGTGCAACTAAAACCGAGAGGGCAGGGTAGGCGAGGGTCACAACAAAATCACGTCGCCCAGTAACTCTGGGTTTTGCGTTTGACCATGGGTCACCGCGTGATGAAGTTAGAAATTATTGACAGTACTTTTGGAGGGCTCTGTAAAACCACCACTTCCGAGTCGGGAGCCAGTTGCACCTTTGCCCGTGCGAAGCGAATGAAGCCAACAACTTCACTCACGTACACCAATTGACTTACCTGGAGAGAGCCGAAGGCCAGGCCAGCACCCACTAGCGCCACCTTGGCTGTCTGAAACGCCATCACCCCCGTCGCCAACCAGAAGCATCAAACCCAACATGAGCAGCAACAGCGGCAGCAGAAAGCGGGTGGAGAATGACGATCGTCTTCAGGATGAAGACGAAATATTCAGGCCCGTGATGGCGGAGGATGCAACACCACAAACACAAAACGAATGAGAGCTTTGGCATCGAAACACCAGGCTCGGTGTGGTCATTCGGCTTTAACGTAGCTCGAACCGCTGGGGACAGCTTGGCGAGCGAGGAGGTTGGTGCCATCGCCACTGCCTCATCACGACTAGCGCCATTCCTTCGGTGCACCAATCAGCGTGTAGAATATACTCGCTAATTTGCCATACAAATCTCCACCTTCTTTGCTGCAAAGCCACAGCAAACGCCCATCCCGAACCCGAAAGAAATCTGTGTAGGAGCGCCAGACTCCATTAGCCTGCGGCAGGTTGGAATCAACGTGGCACCCCGCGCCGACGAATGTGGCATCGGTGTTGGACGTGAGCTGCAGGTTCATTGACAAGGGTGTTTAGAGAGCAATTCTGCGAGATAATTTAGCATGTGCACAGCAAGCAACGACGGGAAGGGAATGCACCGTGTTTACCCCTAGAGTATGATATATCCTAGCAACTGGGATGACGTTCGCTAACAAACCCTAGAGTATGATATATCCTAGCAACTGGGATGACGTTCGCGAACAACAGCGCCAAACCTCAAAATAGCCGCATCAGCAATTGTTAACAAGGTCGAGACCGTGGAACCATGAAGGGGCTGCTTGGATGAGACGGAGAGAAATTCTTCGTGGAGAAAGACGAGTCTACTCGCGACAAGCCCAGCACTCGAGTGAAGCACTCGAAGGAACAACAGTTTCTACGACTCAAACACCGGCTGATCACACCCCGGCCGGGGTGGCCGCCACCACTGGCTTGGTGCCCGAAACAGCCGCGAAGGAGCTCATATGCTGTGGTACGACCGTGGAGATCTGCAGCCTCCCTACGCTCGCTCTCTAGCGGGTTTTCACACGCGCCAGTTGGGAGCAAAACATAAGGCCAGCTTGGTTCATCATTGCGCTACTTGTTGCTGAAGCACTGGGTCAAGCAGGCCTGGGACGGGGACATGGCGGCACTGTTGCGGGGAGCGGAGCACCACGGGCAGGGGCCAGTTCGAGCTTCACGCGTGAACTGAGCCCGTGTGTCCCTAGGGTAGGTGAACGACCCCCTACAGGACTGACTTCGTAAAGGAAACGGACTAATATTAAAAACCCGCCGGCTGCACGAGATACGACTTCGTCTCCCGCACGAAGTCATGTAGGAGGTCGATCACCTCGCCTACGAAAGCACGGGCTTCGATGGCTCCGTTCTGCTCTCACTGACCCCCGCTCCTGGTGCTCCGCTCCCTGCAACAGTGTCGCCACACCCTAGTGCCTTCACAATAAGGCAGTGCCTACAGAAACACGTGCAAGTCTAAGCATCGGTAGTACGATGCAGGGCCAAAGCGTAGGGCGCCCGCCAACAAGTGTCTGTACTGCGGCGTACCATCTGCACAAGCCGTCTCACTTGTTGAGCCGCTTCCGAACGACGTCGCTGAGGGGCTCCCGTTCATCGCGCCCGTTTTTTCGCTTCACGGCACCGTCCACGGCTTTTGTGACGTCACTCTGGCACAGCGAGAGTTAGGGGAATGTTGAGATGGGCAGCGGGACAGTGACATCAACTTGCACGACAGACGGAAGTAACCGTGTGTAGCACTGCTCAAGGCAACGAAGAGCTGTCTAGACAACTGCTCATCGCGATCGTGGACCAACACAATCGAGGGCACCATCAGCAGTGGAGGTTGAGTAGTGCAGGTACCTGCCGTAGCGCCGCCGAAACCATGCCATACAGAACGAGAAAAAAGACGGTCCGAACTCTGAATCGAGCAGGTGCCCCCGACTCAATGCCGGTGTGTTGACCGGGCACATAGCGACACTATCCACTGAGGGCTTCACACTTCTGTGTATTGGTTGCTTCATGCAGGGTACTTCAAACACGTTTGTGTCTCGCTCAAAATAATACATGTGGTGCTCTGGGGGTGCAATGACCGCAAGATAAAGGTTACAGGGGTGCCACAAGTTCAGCGGAATACGGATGACACGACTCACTCCAAACTCATTGACAGCAGCGACGAGGTCTTGCACAAGCTTCTTGGTGTTCTCCGCGGCGTCAGTTTCTCGCTTCCCATTTCTCTTCCTGTCCGCGTCGTCATCGTCGTGGCGTCTGCCCCAGCACATCACCGTTTGTTGCTGCACACAACGACAATCAACGAACACAGGGAAGCAAGAGACAACGCACTCCTTTGAAGGCAGCAAGGTAGTAGGAAAAAGGCGAGCAGCGGAGCAGTAAGGTGTATGGCCACAAACACAACAGGCGAACGCTATTTAGAAACACGGGCGTGCGAAATACTCCTAGTGCACATGCCAGGTTTCTCGACCAAACTCACAGGCATAAGGATGGTAACGGCCAAGGTTGAGGCGGCAGATGTTGCAAGCAGCCTCGCGCCACTCATGGCAATAGAGCCGCTGCCGAAGGTGCTGGGACTGAAGGCACTGGCAGTGCTCGCGCTGCTCGCTCCGAGTGTGGCCAAAGCTGACAGGAGTACCGCCGTCGACCTCGACGAGCTTGCACCTTCGCACCACCGCGCCAACGAACGGGCCCGCAACAATCCGACGTACAGTGTGTATGACCAGCGGGTTAAAAGTTGAAGCACATGGCAACTGTGGTGCCATATATCATTGATGTAAAACTACAGCACCCGAAATCAACCCGCGAGGAGAAGAAGTCTTTCAGTCTCTTACAGTGCTGCATACAGCAGTGAGCCACGGGCATATTCTACGCTGGATAATGGGTTTGAAGTTGGGCTTGATCGCGTCTTCGCGATACACTACTGGCTGCTGGCGCGTGCACATAATTCCGCGACTAACATATTGGTTTTGCGGCGTCAGCAAAGAGTTCAATCGGAAGGTGTGGCCAAACGTCCAGCAAACGCTGAGAGAGACCTCTCATTGAACGGAAATAAATATCGAAACGCTTTTAATACATCAATGTGACCAGGTGCGCCAACTGCAGCTTGAGAGCTTGAGTCTTCGGGATGGTCCATGTGGACTTGCGTTGAAGCCACGCGAATACGCTGGCACATTAGAGGTTGGGTAAGAGCTCTACGGCTGTACGCTGCCGTAGAAGGCCTGCTACGCTACGTGGAGTGATATAGGTCAGGCCCTCCCGCGAAATTTGACACTGCTGATACCATTCCGCCGACTTTCCTTGCGTGGTACGCAGCTGGCGAAAGCAAGCGCCCAAGGGCCGTGTCGTACAGGAGGTACTGACCAGGTGACTTTCTTGTCGTATTTTCATGTAGCTGCATCTATTGAGCCACAAGTATTGCATTGCTGGATCAGGGCAGAAGTCTAGCTGTGGTGCATGTGTCTGCACGTCATGGCGCTGTGATATCGGTAGTGAGTATCGGGGCTATCACCAGTCGTCAGCAACTTTACTAGCTGTCACAAGCGAGCCAGATGCGACCAACCTCAACATGCCTTTTCACATTGCATGTACATCTGCAACAGGCGTACGAGCGGAGGTTTCTGTGACGTAAACCAAACCACTTAAGATGAACGAGGGTACGCCACACCTCGAGTCGTCGCCAGACCGTCCACAGCAGCGGAGGTACCAATCGTACGAGGAGACATTCCACGGAAGTTGCTTCGACAGACCGTTTTCCCTCGTCGAGATGACATCGACAACAACCTCGCTGCCGGTCCCGATCTGATGGCGTGCATCCTCATGGAGGATTCGATGCAGAACTCCTCTAGCGTCTCTAGCCCTTTTGTGGGTGCTCTTTGCCTTCTCCCTCCTACGTCTTGGGTGTTCGTTGCTGCTGCTTTCGTGGTTGGCGGCACGGGCAAACAAAAGGAGAAGGCAAAGCCCCTTGGAGCAAAGAGGCCCCGTGAATCGAAGAACCAATTGCAAGCCCCCAATTGCTAACCTGCCTCTTGGGACTGCTGTGAATGAGATGAGCTGTCACGCACCGGTTGGCCGGGCACCCAGCACTAGCCAAGCAAGTGCGCTCCATACTGTGCCGCTGTGCAGCTGTGCAGAGAGGCAAAGGCTGAAACAATCGAGAAAACCATGGCATCCGGTCCGTCTTGGATGCAACGAGATCAAGGCGAGGGACTGTGAGTTCCATGGATGGGCGTTAGTGTCGAAGTTCGAACCTCGAAGCTGGTTTGGTGCTTGATTCAACGATCGATGTACCAGTAGACGTAGACTGCATATTAATGCCCCCGTCACCAGCATTGTCCTGTTGGCGGCAGAGAAGAAACCAAGAAGAGGCGGGATGCTGGGCATGAACTTCTTCACGAGAACAGGGAGGCTCTGTCAACGTTCTTTGCATTCTCAAAGCCGTCCCACGCAGGAGTGCATCAATGAGGTTACGCCGCATCGAAAAGTGTCCCAAGTCCCAAGTGTTTCACGCACTGCAGGACGTAGTTCACGTTTTACACGGGTTCGCGGTTGTGTTCGTCCTCTCTACATGGTAGTGCAGGCCTTTTGCGCTTACAGCCCAAACCGAGCTCGTGCATTATTTCCTCGACCCATTTTGTATCATGTTGTGTGACGTGCTCGTCCTGATAGTGATCAAATACCGTTGCAGTCAAAATAGCTGCGTGCATGTGCAGGGTGCAAGAGCTTATGCACACGAAACCGCTGCAACTTCCACTCATGCGTGACGGGCAAACGCCATCGTGTGCATAGCTCGCCAACTGGACTCCGAGAAGCTCAGAGCAGTAGTGGAGCCTACAGCCTCGAAGATTTGATTGCAAGCGTGTCTTTGAGAGGCGTGTCTTTGAGAGGCTAAATAGCACCGCGCGCCGACATGAAGTGATCTGGATTCCAACCGCCGTTCCCAGACCTCACTGGTTCCTGGGGAAACGAAACCGTCCCCGTTCCGAAAAGAAAATAACCGTAGCACTGGTCGTAGGCACAGTACCCAACATCAGGACTATTTGTTATTATACTACCAGCTCCATGGGGTAACCCGTGCTCTAGTGGGTTAGTCATACCAGCTGAGCCTATAAGAGCCACTGCTGTTCCCATCATTTACATTCACGAACCTGCGGGAACACCACGGCAGCAGCATAGCAGCATCCTAGCGCCACGTACCGTAAGAAATTTCACGCGCACTTGGAACTTGTCTTGCTTCCTACAGCCTACCGTATACTCCTAACCGTTTTTTTATCAGGGTTCATTCTCCGTCTTGCAGGTGTCGTTTGCGGCTTGTTGTACCAATCAGCGGATGCACACTTCTGCCGGCACTGCTGTGAAAAACTGCAAACTAATCTCTCGACGATGCTCCGCGCGATTCGTGCTGCCTGTTGTATAATAGTACGGCAGCGGATGGAGGCATTGGCGCTGATGGCACGAACGAACCAAATGGAAGCTACGGCGCAATCAAGGCAGAGATGACGGACACGTGAGTGTAGCTGGCCGCGACTGCTGTACTCGAATCACATGCGCAGCCCGTTGTCGGCGTCGTTTCCACCCCGCCGGCAAAATGGCACCACGATTGATGACATGTGGTTTCGGTACAACGTGTTAGACACAACAAATGGTTCGATTCCGTTCTTATGGTTGCGGGGGAGGTTGCGGGAGAGGTAGTTTCCATCCCGTACTTATATCCCCATTTGACCACGTATTTCACTCTATCCCCGTTTGTTGGGGTCGGCTGTAAGGCCGTCAACACCAGCGGCGGTGTATTGTGCATTCATTCTTCGACCAGAAAAACGCGCTCGCAGTTAACAAAGTGTCGGTGTTGCTTGCTATTGGGCAGAGCCACCATCAACCACCACGGGTGTAGCCATTAGTGCGGTATCGAAATCGTTTTCTAGCGCTGTACGGGAATGGTTAGTCCGATCTACTGCTGTAAAATGCACATCGAAGCTAGGGTCGGAGCAATTTTTTTGTTGTTTCTCTGTCCCTGTCGGACCTAATGACTACCATAGCAACTGATTTGCCAAGGCCCGGCGGTAGCTTTTCACGGAGTCCTCTCAATGCAACGTGTTCTCAACATCGGTATGATACTATACCAGCGATGTTGCAGTATCCTGGCGTTTGTCTTGTTCTTATGATCGCTCCCTGTTGCGTGTTGCTCCACCTTTCGGTCTCCGTTGCCAAGCAACCCGGTGCGGTTCGGATTTCGGGTGGCATCCCTTGCGCTGGGGTTGATGATGATTATCGCCGCCTTGACGGAGGTATGTGGTATATGAAGGAAATACAGTAGCGCCCGCCCTTATGAACCTGGGAGTTACGAAATTCAGGCTCACAACATAGGAACTTAAAGAGCTTGGTAAATAAACACGTGCTCAGTCAAGAATCCCACACTAAAATCTAGTACTTCTAATTACTAGTAGCTGTTGGGGTACCATGGAGACAATAAGAAACGAGCCTCGGCCGAAATAAGTAGTTCTCTAGTGCAGGCGCTGTTTGACTGCACTGTACGTTGGCTCATGGTAGCTCTTCTTGCTTGTTCAGGGAGGTTCCACGGATTGTTGTTGTAATAAGAGCGTCATGCAGCCGTCCGCGAGACGGAGTCGGGGCGCCGTGTTCGTTCTGCACGGTGTGCTTGCTGTCTGTCTCATCGTCATTTTGTCTTTCACATTACACCACACACACACAGATTGGTTGGCATTTTCCCGTTGACGTCGCGTCTGTCTTCTCTTTGTGCCCCCTTGCTCATCGCTGGCGACACTAACTTCGTCACCTCTCGAAACATGACGCTTTATGACGATGGACAACATACGATGGTTCCCAGCTGTGGAACCTGTCGTCTTTTACGACATTTTTCATCGCTCTGTACAATCTTCTCTTCGCCGGAGTGCTGATTCTTCACGAGAGCCAGGTGGGTCATTTGCTGTATCCGCTGAGCACGATGGACCGTGGTACAAGCAAAGAAAAAAGAGAATTGGTATTTTCACGCGAGTCGAGCAAATGAGGAGATGAGAAGTCGAGAAAGGAGCTGAGGTTGGCATGTCATGGTAGCCATCCAATACAGAACGTACCCAGGTGTTGTCATACCAAATATACTGGCGTCGTCAACACCAAATGTGTAGCCAAATGGTTGGTTTGTTGTGTGGTAGCTTGTTTTCTTCGGGCAGATGTTCCGTTGAGGCCACGTCAGGAAGTAGTCTTGAATTGTTCTTTTTTGTACGACTCGTGAATGACACGGTCACCCGTCCGTGTTGACGTGACTGACGGCGCTTCGATTGGCCAACACTTCCACTGGATGTCGATGCTACCCTTCACAGGGGTTGATTATGTGCGATGGGGTGGACTACACCATGCGAAGATATTTCGGGCTGGTCTACGGCCACATGGGCAGGTATGGCAGGGTTAGTCTAGTCAAGGGTTGGACGAGCGGGGCTGTTTGGGATTTCCGGCGACCATCTGCGCAGGTAGATTGACACGTACCGCGCGCACACATGTTCTCCCGTGTGTTATGATTGGTTCATCTGCTCAAGCGGGTGATCTCGTTGGACAATGTGAGCGACATTGTGGTGTTGAACGTGACACGCAACAATCGTGCCCCAATGCGACACAGCAGTTCTGGAAATGCGTGGCATTGTGTTCAAGCGTCCGGCGCCACTGGTCACAGGACGAAGCCAAGACCAATTACCGTTATTCTTGCGGCTTTCACGTCTGCTTTTGTAGTCCTTGCGCGAAGACATGGAGTTAGCCTCATGGCCTACGAGCTTCGTTGAATATGCCCCTCTTGATGACCATGAAATGTGCCATGATCAAGGTCGGTCGTAGTACGGCACCAGCTCTCACCTTTGCTTGTATCGTTTCGGCCTTGAATTGTCATTATTAGCGATGCCATGCTGAATTCCCCGTCACGACCTAAAACGAAACAACAACAGCAAGGGTGTACACTGGCATTGTATGTTCGATCTTGATCATGGCACGTTTCATGGCAATCAAAATGTCGACGGTAGTCCCTGTCGTTTCACTTATCATTGTAAGACACGAGACTCGTGCTTCAAATGACTGATGTAACCGCATCGTGTAGGTAGATGTATGCTGTTATCTGATCTCTACGAGCCTCTCCACACGCAGAGACGGAATGACACCAAAGGTTCGCTCACGCTACAACCATTGCAGCCTGCTGTCGCCTGCGAAAATGCTGCACTGGCAAAAACATCTGATCGTGAAGACGGCAGTAAAGAAGGGGGGTTCTGCTGAAATCCCACCAAGCAGAGTGTGATCCACTTGCTCAACGACAGACATGCAAAAATGTCTCTTGCTGAGCAAGTGGATCGTGCTGTGCCTGGCGTGCTTTGAGCAGAGCTCCGCTTCTTTCCTGTCGATACATCGCGATGAGATTGTTTTCCCACTGTACGGAAAGGTTTGATTCGTATCTACAATAGATGCATGTGTGCGCGGCGCGACGTCAATGTACGCTGTGTGCTTCTCTGCTTAATGTATGTCTGTTCGCTCATTTGCATGTACATTCAGATGCTCTGCTTTGTTTGTTCCATGGGGCTCTGGCCGGCTGCGCTTGTCGATCTTACTGGTGCGCGATTTTGCTGTGCATTGATGACGCAGGGCTCTTTTCATCATCTTCATCGCGTTTCTCAACTTTGCCTTGACTGACGCTGGGTGGTTCGCAACATTTACGGGTCTTCTGTTGTTGTGAGTTTGTTGCAAGGACGTACGTAAACCAGCTTACATGTTGCAGTTGTTCAAGGCGTGGGAAACGTGGCCAATGCAATACGCGCCTATTGTCGACAGAAGGCAGAGTACTGCATCGATTATGTTCCCACTGTTGGTTTACTAGTATGAAGAAGGGTGTCTAGATCCGATCACCGTGTCCTCTGGTAGCTGGAACCCCATGCTCTGAGTCTCAAGGCTTTGTACGCTTGCCTGCCGCGTCATCGGGTGGTGGGTATGCTATCTAGAGTATTGTTGTGTTCCCAATTCTTGTGTTGGCGGCGTCGTGTTGATGTTATTCAGGACCTGCATGGTAGCAAAATACAGCGGTTATGACGGCATCAGGTTGCGTGATGGTATCATTTGAAACTGCTGTGGTGCTGTGTGATGGTGCCATGTGACGATACGGTCGCCGTGAGGGGATGGATGTGCATGCATGGTAATGGTTGATATCTCGACGAAATGAGCACGCGTGGTGCTCTTCTCAGGTTGCATGGAGGGGCAATGATTGTGGTGTTCACCAAGTACCCCCATCTGCTGGACGAAGCACCTGGACTGGGCGATCTCAAGACCACGGCACCGCCCAGACAAGACGAATATGTACGTCACTCGTCACTATCTAGCTCGCGCCCTCTCCCGTACATGTTCTTTCTTTCGCTTGTACCTTCACGTCGCGGTGTAGATCAAACCTCGACCGCTGCGTTTGTGCGACGGCCTTCCGAAGACTGGGTCTTCGATAGGATCTGTTCGTGAGACATCGCTATTTGCAACGCACGTATTCATGCTTCATGTTTATCGGCATAGGTTTGGAAAGCGTATATACAAGGATCGTTTTCCTGTGGGAAAATGCCCTCCGTCCATCGGTCGTGATGTGCACATGCCGTCCAGCAATCATGATAATTTACGAAAGGCTTTGCGCTCGTTTGGATCACCTACCCAGTGCTGATTGTGATGCGCCACTGGTCATCGCGGCTGTGGACCGCCCTGCCTACAGCAGTTGTACGATGTCGGATTGATTGCCGTCCTCTCTGGTCGAATCGTTTCGTTCGGCTGTCACCTCATTGTCTTGGCGGAATTGGTGCAGGCGCCTCCTCCGACGATGCCGTCAACAAGCCTATAAGCAAGCCTGTGACCGAGGTGATGTGTAGCTGCACAGAACATCGGTAAGGACGGGGATGCGACGCACTGCGATGGCACGGCCGCCGCCGCCGCCGCCGCCGCGATGCCTACCAACAATGGCACAGGCACCCACAAACCCATTGATGTGATGGATGGAGACGGGAACGGCACCGAACTGTACAGCACGGCAGGATCGACACAAGCAAGCCGACGGAGTAATATGGCTTATGTCGGTCAAGTCCCAGTTGTGATTGGCGCTGCAACCGGGCCGCCGATAACGTGAATGTCTCGCACGAATCGTGCCCAACGAACCTGGGATGCCCATGACAGTCGGAGCAGGTCGAGGTGGCTGTAGTTTGATGACGGTGGTGGTTCAGCGGTGTGGCGAGGTCGGCTAGAGGTGTTTGAGGGGTGAGCTGTGTTGCTTCGCAGGCTGCTTGCAGACGGAATGGCTGGCTTGGTGCAATGCAGGATTTTTGGGTCTTGTAGGCTCGTGGTGTATCTACGTGTTTCTATACAAACAGAGAAAAGGGAGCCCAAACCTGCCGATAGGGCGAGTCGTACGCAGCAGTGTGTATGCACCGCCGTGCCATGCTTCATGCACGTGCAACACCTTGCCGTTGTTTTGCATATGGCGGTGCAACTGTCGTAGAATGTATCGCCGCTGCTTGGTCTTTAGGTGCACTACGCAAGGAAGCACGGTGTTTTTCCAAGGGCCGTGGAATGTGTCGCCGCTGCTTGGTCGTTGGGTGTACTATGTTGTAAGGAGGCACGGTGTTTTTCCACCTGAGGCATTTGGCCAGATTTGTTTTTGAAGACTTGATGTTTGAGTACTGCATATGTAGACAAAACTGCCGGCAGACAGGGGAAGCAGAACTATTTGATACCGTTCATCAGAGAACGTTGCCGTCTTCGTGTGTCTTGATCTGGCTCGTTGGGTAGTCAGCAATCTGGGTGAATACATTTCGCCGTTGATGGGATTGTTGTGTTGTCATACCTACGAAGGTCCCTTTTTTTGACCTGTGCAGTCGGGGCCCGGAGATGAGAAAGGTACTCTTCGGGCCGATGCTCGATATCTCTCGTAGTCTGTGCCGACCACCAGCTTGCCATGTACTGTTGTTGGCTGTATCAACGAAGCTCATGTTATTCGGTCCTACCTTTCCTACCGATTGTTGTTTGTTTTTGTTGAACGTTCTTCCTGATTTCCCACGGAGCTTGCGTCCCACATTCTAAACGTCTCTGTCATGTTTAGCCTCTATGCTAAGCGCCGATGGCAAGAAAGACCGTGGAGCAGACAGCCCTTCGTTGCAGTGTCGGTAATATGCGTCGGGAGAGGGCGCGCCGCAAAGAACACCACACACAGGTGCCCGCACGTGAAAGGGTAATCCAGGAATGGGCACGTACTGTTTGGAGTAGTACCCCGCGGCTGCCTCTCTTACGGGGTATCACGATGTACCATGTCGGTGCTTTGGTGGAAATGTTTCCTCGTATTTTCTTTGTCGCGAGAAGAGCTACCGTAGGTTGCGTAAGATATCACACACCCTGGCCCGATTTTCAAAACTCGGTTACTCGGCAGGAAAACAAGTGACGGCGCCGAAAATGGCGGAGTTGGAACCGTCCCATCGAAAGCTCCCCGACAACTTAGACTACCCTTTGATTTCAGCATCCTCTTCGTCGCGGAGTCTTGGATGGCTGTGTGTCACTCCACGCCGGTTGCTCAAGATAAGTCCTAACATAAATTTCTTACTTGCGGACCCTACAGCTGTACTCACACGGTACTGGCACGAGGTACGCTTCAGAAAAACGTGCAATGTGCATACAATCACAGGACCGTCTAACCGCGCGTTTAAAAAAATAGGGGCCTAAAAGAAATATTTCAAAATTCAAAAATTCAAAATTTTCAAATTTTGGTCGCCCCCCAGAAGTCCCCCGAGACCGGTGAAATGAACCTCAATGCTGATGTAGTACTGCCACTAACACCATATGCTGCCGCATGTGTGCGGCAGGCTGGATGAATTGCGTGAATGGCTGATGGCTGATCTAGCGGGGCTCCGTGGGTGCGAACAGAGCCACGAGGGAGACATCTGGGGGGGGGGCGCAGACTGGAGACGACGTGCGTCTTTTGGAATTGATTGATCCTTTGAGTTGCAGCACGTCCGAGAACACAGCCCACCCTCGCGCTGTCCCCTAGCAGGCGATCACACAAACGAGGAACGTAAGCAGGTGCGTCATGTTTTCGTTCGGCCAGCACGTGCGTGCACACGTGAACAGCATCGAGGAGCGTCAAAGGCGAACGCTCTCGGATGTGTCCAACTCCGCGGGCAACGCGAACAACGAGAGCTGCGGCAGGGCTGCAAGGCAACTAGAGCAGCAACAGCAGGGGAAGAATAACCCAACGCTCGAGACCCAGGAAGCTTTTCTACAGGTGTGTTTGCGTGCATGCTGCAGGGGGAGAGCAATGAATGCGGATGTTGCCCTCTGTTGGTTCGAGGCTTCCGCTCTGAATGTGTACGTGAGGCCTTTGGTTGGGCGGAACTGCACTTCTTGAAATCAGTGGCAAGGTTCCACCTGCACCAAGGCGCATGGTGGTCACACAAAGGGACTCGAGGTTGGGCTTATCCCCAAGCAAAAGCAGTACATCGCGACATCGTCCGCTGAAGGTCGGGCTTATCCCCAAGCAAAGCAGTACATCGCGACACCGTCCGCTAAACTCCAAGCGCTATGGACCCCATTGTAGGCCCGTGAACAGCAGTCCCAAGAACTTTTGCTGGTGAACCCAGCGTAGCAGAGAAGGGACAAGGGACGCAGCCCACACAACGGCACGAACGGCCGTTTCCATCAGCATGATTATTTTTGTTTCAACCATCGCTCATGTCCGATACTCTGAAGCTACATATGTATGTGCAACAAGTGCATTCCGTGCGCCTCGTAGGCATACATGACTGGTTACATCTCAAGTCCGGCCTTGCTGTTCTTCTCGTAGTTCCTTTCCCTTGTCTATTTTGAAAGATTCTGTTGAAAGCATTATGTAGTCTACAATTCTAGTCTTTATTAAGTAGTAGAATGGAGGAAGAATGTAGTAACGGAAGTTGCACAAGACACCACCCCCATGGTCCGAATTTCAAAGCTCGAGTACATACCATACTCTTGTATGCATAGCAAGGGTGACTTTGGCAAAAGTGGCGGAGTTGGGACCACGTCGTTGCTTTTGTCGATGACCCCGTGAGGCTTGACTGGTTTTCATGGGTTTCGGAATGTAGAATATACAGAAATGTAGGCAAACAGAAGTACATGCACATCACCCCCCTCTTTTTTTTCCGCCGAAAGTCCGTTGGTAAAGCTGACTATTGGAGCACCCTCAAACGTCGTTACATCTGTCATCCACACGTGCGTACAACGTGTTCACGTCAATCTCTTTGTTTCGCAGTATTACCAGGCGGCGATGCCTCCGGCGACTCACATGTCGTACGAAGACTTCGAGCTCAAGCGTCGACAGCAATATTTCGAGCTTCAGCGCCGCCAGCGGGAGTTAGAGAGCCTGGTCAAGCTCCTGCAGGAGCAGAACCACCAGCTGCGAAGAGAGAAAGATAGGACGCTTGAGATAGAAGAGCTGCAACGGGAGCAAAGATCCGAAAGTACGCAGGTAGCTCTGGGCCCCGACAGCACGGAAGTAGCAAGCTTGCGGAGCGAACTGGCGACCGCGCGCGGTGAAGCTTCCAAGGCTACGGCTTCTGCCGCTGCCGCTAGTCGAGCCGCAGCCAGCGCCGAGGCGACTGCTGCTGAATGGAGGGCAGAGCTGAGCGTGTTGAGAAAACAGCACGCGAGATCGGCGTCGGAGTGGAAGAGGGAGGCGGCCGTTTTGGAGCATCGGGTCGCGGCCTGGCGGCGGCACGCGCAGGAGCAAGAGCGGCAAGTCAAGGCTCTGAGAGAGCAGGTGGGGCGGTTACGCGTGGCGTGGCGGTGAAAGTGGCCTGGCCTATCGAAGGTCTTGTTTTGGCCCCTGCCTAACCCCACGATAGACGAATATTGCCCCTGAGGTGCTTTGTTGTTGCTCGGCGGGAAGGTACCATTGCCACCCACGTGGTGTTGGAAACACCCTTTCGGAAGATTAATATTCCAGCCGTAAGAACATATGAGGTGATGACGAGGCGAACGTAATCTCCAATTCTACGTGTACGAAATGGCAGCTTTTTTTTAGAGACGGACTACAACACTTCGTTTGTCATGTTGTACCCTGGTTTCATTCCCATTGTCAATTTTTTGTCACAGCAACAAACCCGACGGATTATTGGTGTGTGGATACAGAAGTACGATGTAGCTACATATCGCAAGATTGAGTTAATTGCTTCGAACTATCAACCCAAAAGGAGATGGACGGAAAATAGCTCACGCCATCCTCGATAAAAGCCACCCCCAACTCTTGGCTCGGTGCCGACTCATGTCGGTGCAGGCTCTCACTTCGGTGTCGTTGTGTCGCGATGCCCCGTTGCTTACATTTCGTCGCCGAAAACGTATCTCGTCCGTGTGCGACTGGTTGTAATTGGTTCTTTCGTTTGTGACTTCGTTTTCGCCCTCAACTGCACCAAGTCGGTAGTATTAGTAGCCTACAGCGCTTGCGGAGGAGGAGTGATTCGCGTCGAAAAGCAACAACGACGCTGCTGCTGACTGCCCGTCGAATCGTCCGTGGCCGACACACAAACAGCTGGCACACTCCGAGCAGCAGCACCAGCAGCAGTGCCAGCAGCGGCAGCGGTACAGCAGTCAGGGATGTGTTCGAGAGAGGGAGAAAGAACGAGAGAGAGAAGGCGTTGCCGCGGCGGGCGCTCTTGTGAAGGAAGTCGTGGTCAACCGTTTTTTCGGGGGTAGCGTGAAACCAGCAACGGACTCGCAGGAGTGCTTCTTCGGGGGTAGGGTAAAGGTTAAGAAGGCAGCGACGGGCAAGGGGGAGGCAGAGAGACCCAGCACAGCTAAGCAACAGGTGGCGGAGGTGGTGACTCCGAGGAAGGAGGCGGAGCGTAAGGTGGGTCAAGGGTCAAGGTTGGAAGCAGGGTTTGGTGAAGTCGTGTAGCACGGTTGAAGAGATGAATCATCGGGGCGGGAACGGAACTATTTGTCGGGGGCGAGGGTGTGCGGTGCCCCTGCTGCTTCTGCTGCTGGTGCCTCCGATTCCGACATTGGTTTTGTTTCACAAAAGAATAGCATGTGGGGCCAAGCTCGCAGCTATAGTGGTACGCCGTTTTTGCCGAAGACGGATGTGTTTCTGATTGCTTTTGCTTGTTGGCTTTGAAAAACAACTGTGATTTTGATGTAGCCCTCCATCTTTCTCCCCTCCGTTACACCAAACAGCCAACACCAAGACTACTGTACGGTGCCCAAGGATTCCCCCATGAACGCAACAATTCCCTTTGTAGATATGGTCACAACGATATGTGCTATTTTAGTAATATGCAGTGCGAATGTCTCGAAGGATTTTTCTCGCGAAATGTGTCAGCATCTACAATACTTGCCACCTCGTAGCAATCTACGTGAGGAGTTTTTTCGTCCTCTTTGTGGCTTTTACTTGGTATTTGTTTGGTAGGGTACTTGAATAGATTGGGTTTGGTGCGGTGTTAATATTTTGTTGCTCTTTGTCGTTGTGTGTGCAACTAAATGGCCCCCCTCTCCGACAACGACAACATGCCCCGGTCTCTCCCTTCTGTTTCTCCTCTGGAGGTTGAATTACACACAAGAACAAAAAAATCTGTGAGTTCCTCAGCCTCACTGCTGTATTGTGCTCTGCGTTGGTTTACAGGCGGTGCCGTTTGAGGATCGCGTCGAGGAGCTGGAGAAGGAGCTGTCAGAATCACGCCGGGTAAAGAGAGAGAGAGAGAGAGAGAGAGAGAGAGAGAGAGAGAGAGAGATCCTGGTAGCTGAGTATGCGACCGGTGAGTTTTCTTCAGTGGCTGCCGTCTCGTACTGGTACACGGTTTTAGGACACTGCTATTGTTTGACGACGTCAAATCAGCGGAGTCACAGGAGCCATGGCAGTCGGCAATCAGCAGCCTGGAGTGTATTTTCCGTAACAAACCACGGGAGATTTGTGGCTGCCTGTTTGTGCTTGTGCCAAAGGCCCTTGGTTGAGGGTGGGATGGTTTGGTGGGATGGTTTGGTGGGATGGTTTGAACAGACAATCACAACAACCGTAGCGACAGCATCGGATCGGCGAGTTCAAGAGGCGGGGTATGTTCAGACTGTGCTTGTGGTACTTCTCTCGCTTGTTTCTCTCCCGGCAGGTCTTGAAGCGATCAAATTCAGCAGCGTCCATTTCGACTATTTTGTCCGCTGTGTCGTCTTCGACCAGCAGCGAGGGGGGGGACGGCGAGGGCGAGAGCGAAAACGAGAGCGAGGTACGTGCCAGACCGATGTTGATGACATGCCCTCGTGTTTCCGCTCTGGACAGACAGTACCAAAGGTGTGCCGCAGTTCTAGCTATATTAGTATCAGTCATGAGAGGATCGCTTGCAGGTGATATTTGGTGGGTACCGCAGAATCATTACCAGTCGCGAGGGGCAGGCTACGGTGGTACGGCGTGTTTGCGGTGCTGCTTGGCATTTTTTGTCTTGCTACCGGCTACGAGATTCGTGTGCGTGTCCTTCGTGACGAGGTGGGAAGGGAAGGCAGCCGACACCAAATGCTCTACAGCTCTTTCTTGTTCCCACATTTTGGCTTGTTCGCTGCTTCCCCTGCTGCACTTCCCCTGCCACGTGCTATCTTGGTTGACAGTACCATTTATCCCGAACATGCACGATCGTTTCGCTTCGAATGCCTGTCTCTTGTTGTCATGCCTCCATGCCCCATCCCTATGTTCATTGCTTTTGTTGGGGTGGTCTCAACGGGCGGTTTACATAAAATGACGTCGCGCCACTGATGTTGGTGTTGGTATTGTCCTCCCCTCTCGTCGACGTGTTTGTTGGTGTAAGCATAGGAGGATGTCAAGGACAAGGACAAACAAAAGGACAAGTTGGTGGAGACGATGACCCTGCTCAAAGACGCCGAGAAGGCGATGCGAATGGTAAGGGGCGATGGCATGCCATGATTTCTCAAGATGTAAGGGTGTCTGTCGTCCACTGGACTAATTAGCTTGGTATTGTGGGTATGAGTGCGAGTATGACGAATGCAGTCGTCTTCACCCAGGGTACCTCTTCCCACCTTGTAGGGTTAGATTTTCTCCTCTTCACTCGTTTTTCGTCCCTCCTTTGCTCCCTCCCGTCGTTTGTCTTTTCCGTCTTGCGCTGTTCCTGAAACCGTTCTGTTTTCTGTCTGAACAAAACCAAATAAATCGAACCGATTCAGGCACGGGGCGAGCTTGTTGGCAAGAACGAGCGCTGCAAGCAACAGGTTGGAAAGGTGAGAACATTTGGAGCACAAGGTTTCCCCCCGAATTGGCTCGTGAGAGCACAGCAGTGCCATCAAGGGGTGACGTAAGATGAACATGGTGGTAGCACAGGCGCCGTGCGCTGCATCTTTCTTGTTATGAGAGGGCCGACGATACGGTACGCTGCTTGCAGTTATTCCGTGGCCTACGCGTTGGTGAATCTTTGATTTATCCATTACATATGCTTCTGAAGAACTACATCACTTTATTGGAGCGCGGGCTCTGCGTGCTGTGAGTTTCGGATCAAATGGTTGAGCATAGTTATTCCGGCGGCGGCGTAGTTGCTATAGCTTCCTGTTGATTGTTGTTTGTTTCAAGCGTAGTTCCTCGTTCAGCCTCGGTCTGCCTCTCGTTTTTTGGCCGTACAACCACCGGTCATTGTGTATGAGAGAACCTCAACATCAACGTATGGCCTTGCGTTATGTTTCTACTGTTGTATGTGTGTGTGCGTGTGTTTGCTTGACGCGGGGTCCTACCACACCCTCTCATGTTTCCACCAGTCCTGCTATCACGCGGCGTTTGATATCTCTCATCCTTCTCCCATCGTCACCATCATACGTTACCTCACGCCTACTTTATTCTTGATGTTCTTTCCAACTGCAACCGCAGGATGCTGTGTCGTTTTGCGAGGCCAACAACACCAACACAACCGTCGCCTTGGACCACCAGCCCGGCTGCAACGCCCCCGCTACGGGCGTGGAATGTGGCAAGGCGAGGCCGCTGGTTGGTGGCCGGGGGGAAGGAGCAGAGGAGGGCAGCGCCATAGAGGCGATGGCGACAACCGCAGACAAGTCTGGTGGGGAAGGGGAAGGTCAAGGGCAGGACATGTCGGCTAAGGTCGCGAAGATGCAGTCAGAGGTGCGTGCGCCTGGTTTTTGATTGGCTGCTTAGTTGCTGTTGGCGTGTGTTCCTTTGTTTTGTGTCGCACGTGATGACGACAGCAACACAAGATATAGGCGGGATTCATACTACCCCTTGGCGTGACGAGTATTGGCCCATGATGGGCGCGAACTATCGGCGAAGCCGCAACGATGGAGATGTCATCGGCAGGCCTGCTCGATGTTGCTTGCACGCATGTCAAGCCTTCGTCAAGGTTTTGTGTATAGCGGTGACGTTTAATCCTGTTTGTGAACCATGGTTCGGGTGCACGCCGAGATGTGATGTTATGGGTCGACTAGAAGGTGTTGCTTCAAGTGTTGTCTTCGTTGTTGTGGGTGCGATGTGTTGGCAGCTAGCTCGTGTCGACGGACGAAGGCAGCCGTGTGCGAGAACAGGTGGCTGTGGTGCTTGGTCCGTGAGCACTGCTATCGCTTCAAAGCTGCACCTGTATTGTAGCAAGACACGTCAGTAGCCCCGAACACCCAAAGATTTTTGCTCATCATGCGCTCTTGTCTTTGCCTCCAATATTCCCGTCGGGGCGACTTAGCCAATAATCCACAAGCGCACAGGATGGTCGGCCCAACGAGATATATCATCCTGAGAAGGATCAAGAATGAGACAGACAGACCTAACCAAGACAACACACGTATGCTGCGCTTTGGACGAACGTTTGCGGTGTGAGCACAGCTGGACGGCCTTCACGCGGTGCTAGACAACCTGTCCGCCAAGAGAGCGGCCGCCGCTCTTGGGGGAGCCGCGGCTGGGAGGGAGAGGGGGGCCAACGGAGTGGACCTGTCGGGCAAGATTGAAGCGATGCAAGCAGAGGTACAGCGGTAGGCTGGATTGTTGGTCTCGACCCGATCTCCCCGACAATTTTATTACAAACCGGCATATTTTGGTTGTTTAGTGCCAAGGTATATTACACACGATTGTTGAGGGGTGATCTCCGGAGGAGAGAAGTTGGCGTTGTTTGTTGGTGTGTTTGTTTTCATTTGTGCGTGTTTTGTGTGATACGAGCAAGCGAACCACGCTATGTAGACTCCAGGCTCTTCTCTCCCTCTCTCTGTCTCTCTGTTTGTCTGTCTCTCCCTCTCCCTCTCTCCTCGCTTCCGCGTGGTACTCGTGGCTTCGGACCTGCTGCTGACTTGTGGTCCTATCTCCCTCGTCTCATGTCTGGCACCCGAATCGCCCGACTGCAATCGATCAGGCCTCTGATCTTGATCTGCAGGCTCTAGAAAATTGCCCTCTCAGTAGATCATGTATGTGCAACAAACTGATCGTGTTCATCTCTTTTGCTTTTTCATGCAAGTACTCGGGTCTGGACAAATTTCCGTACAGTACACAGTTAGGCGTAACAGCTGCGGGGCACGCAGAAAATACTTCCTTCCGCGGTCCACGCCTATGCCAAGTCATGTCCATTGCACTTAGTATCGCACCACATCGCATCGTGCGTTTGGATTCGTCCCCCGCGACACTTGCGTCTGCTGTGTGTGTCTCTGTTGCTCGCTTGCTATCAATAAGTTGGACAACGTGCTCCTGCTATCAAGGAGGGAAGGCGTGTCTGGCGACAGGAAAGATGCCCTCGAGGACCCCGGCCGCGGTGGTGATGCAGCGCAGGGTGCCGTCGACGATAGGCCGACGACGGAGACTAACACCAGGGAGACAGCCGCCGCGCCGGGGAAGCAGAAACAGAGCCAGGGAGAGGTGAAGGTGCTGAGAAGCTGCCACAGGCGGCGGGACCAGGTAAGGCGACCTTGTGTTGGCGTGCTTTTGTGGTAGTGATGGCCTGACCTTCGTTTCCGCGTTCTTGTCTTCTGCTTGGTGGAGGGGGAGGGTTGATGAGATGAGGTGGTGTTGTGCTTCCGAGGAGAGGCTATGCTTGGCCAGCTACCCACCCCAGTTGAATGTGGACGGGGGAGGGGCTGGTCTTCCTTCATCTCGTCGTAGAGAGGGATGTAACTACTGCTCGAGTCGATCGTTGGTCGAACGACGGAGTCAGGACGGAATTCCGTTCTCAAGCCAATCCCTCAAACCCGAGTATTTCGTTGGACCAGCTTCGCGGGGTTTATATTATTAATATATGTAACAGAGAGGTGTTTTGCGTATCCCTGTCCCTAACCCCATCGCTAACCGCCACCCCGTAACCCCTACAAAAACTAAGCTTGGTACCTCGTGTTGCCCAAGGCTACTGATTTCTATTCCCCGTTGTGGTCGTCCCATTTTCACGCAGGTGAAGCGGGAGAGGCGGGAGGGTCGAGGGGAGAGCGAGGAAAGGATATCGATGGCGACCCACTTCGGCTACCCTAGCTGTATATTCCAGCCCTTCTTATGAGCCCACTCACTATGAGTGGGCTCCTGTGTTGGTGTTGTTGTTAAGGGAGGGTCGGTGCCTGGTTGGATGTTGCGGTTGCGCGTGGAGGCTATTGTAGCCTCCGCCTGCTGTCGAGGGTAGGCATGTTGTTGTTGCTATTGTTGTCATCACCTTAAAAACCCGTTCCGTTATCTCTGCCTAGTACCTTCTGTGTATTTATTTCTGGGCTGCGAGAAATCCAAGGAAGTTGAGGAGTTGGAGACAGGAGCCTTAGCAGGGTCTGCTGCAACATATACTTGCTCCGAGTGTTTTTTCAGCAGGGCAGGGATGCGATTCATGTGTAAATCTTTGTTGTGAGTGTTGTTGGAAGCTTAGTGGCAGAAGCGAGAGGGGGGAAAGGAGCGGAGAACGTGGGAGAAAGGAAATATCACTCTCCGACATTGGTAACTGAAAGAAATTCACTAGACGAAAGAGGTGTACGTTTTGGTCAGGAGAGGGGAGCAAGCGTGTACGTACACGCTACCGTATCCGCAAGTGATTGGCCGGAGAAATATTGGCCCCATCGGGCAGGGGGGGAAGCCCCTAATCGTGTACCATAACTACATTTCGGCCGTACGACGTTGGTGTGATTTATGGTACAGTTCGGCCGCGTGATATCGTGATCACGAATGAATTTGTTTAGGAACCCAGGTGATTTCATGGGTGCAGATAGACGCTATTAGCAGGACTTTTCTGGGTGTGTTTTTGTGTTGGACTGCTGTGGTCGCGGAAGATGTTCCGCGTTGAATTACTCAGTCAGGTGGTTGGACGTCATGAAGACAAACACGCAGCGATTGATTTGTAGTGCTGGTTGTTTGGACCATGGACGAATTTTTTTCACACATTCGAATCTGCTGCCTTTTGCTGTAAGCTTTTTTTGTAAGTAGCAACGTACGAGTGAGAGTGAGATTAGTCTGTGGGTACAGTTGTTTTATAGGGTCAACATGAACGTGTGACATTTGTGTTCATACAACGTCGTGAAGGGAGATTGATTTGTTTCCATTGGAAATCGCGCTTCTGTTTTCTTCAGGAAACGTTTCTTTCTAGCAGGGGAAAAAACACAAAAAATACCGAGTGGGGGAACTAAATCGCTTCAGCCTTTGGCTGCATCACCACGACTACTATGAAGTTACGAAGTACAACACAAGATCCGAGAAATGCATCGATACGCTTTGGATAGCTCGATTCCTTGATTCCACTCGTGAGCCGAAGAAATCACACCCTACAGTACAACGCCAACATCGTAACTGCCGGGCTGGCTGCCTAGAGCTTAGCGTGGAAGGAGCTTTGGTGTACGACCATGCTTCGCTCGATGTCAGCAAGCTTTTTGCAGCCCATGAGCCGCATCGCTTGGACGAGCTCTTCGTTGAGTAGGTTGATGACATCCGTCACTCCATCTTCACCCTGGCATGCATCATGCAGTGCGTCATTGTCACCAGACGTATATTGTGGTCAGGCAGGAGACCGAAAACAATCTTGTGACCAGTTCTTGTCCGCCACGTTGTTTCTGGAAATTCATTTGGCAGTGTTGGGATGGTTCACTCCAGGTAGACCAGCCAACACGCACCCCGATACGCCACGGTATTCTTGAATATCCGAACTACAGCAAACATCCAAGATGCGCTTCTTCGTGGAGAGGCATCGCATTCGCCTAAACTAACACAAACCAGCAATGATCTAATCAAACTTACCATGCATCTCGCGTAAACGTGCTGTTTTGCTGGTACGGAATGATTGCCGGGCGACAATTCGTTGGTTTGTGGTGAATCCTAGCGAAGTCGAGGTGCTTGTTTTTCAAATAACACAGGTACATCGCAAAACTCACACTGTGGGCTAGCCCCCAGATGACAGGTCGGCCGACAAAAATAGCTGTTGCGCCCAGGGCAAGCGCTTTCAGCACGTCCGTGCCCCGCCTGATGCCTCCGTCCACGAAGACTTCGCAACGTCCACGCACAGCTTGCACCACCTGGTGAGGGAAAGGCCAAAATGGTCAAAGCAAAATATCTCAGCAAGCGACGCCGGAAGGAAGGTCGGCGAACGTCTCTCCTCTTCGACATTCGGCATCTACCACAGCGCAAAAGGCAATGGTGGTGTTGCATGAGAGGAAATGAAAACCACCTTGTCTCCGCCTGCCTTTGTTTTACCTTCCTTAATATGGTGGGTCAGCTTGTGACCACGGCAATACCTTTTGAAGGTATGGACGAGCAGGTAGACCATCCGAGGTCAATACTGTTATGTCAAGACGACATCAACATTTCCTACGCGAGTGGCACGTTGACCGTTGCAACGTGCTCATGCATAGTTGAAAACGCATTCGACAAAATTTCGATGCCGTTCCATGTCGCGTCTGTAGCAATAGACAGAGCCATGCCACCTCAGAAGTACAGTTTTACATAGACGTGGATTCGGAGGGAACATCGTCTTGTGGGTCAAACTTTTCTTTTATCCAAGGCCACTCTATCTTGACGCCGTTGCCCGATGAAAAACGCATGGAAATGCCATCTCGGTATCCCTCGTTCCAGCATCCTTTCAATGTTCCACCTTAACCCTCTGGGCTGGTTGTCGTCTATAAGCACAAGTCACCCGATGGTTCAAGTGTCATTCTATACGGTACCGGATGGCTAGAAAATGGTTCGCAGCCTAACCCACATCACCGAGATACTCGTTCCGGCCCATCAAACACGGCAGTCAGCCCGTTCTTGAGTACTATGGAGGAAAAGAGGTTTCTACCTGACAGCTCTGTGTAAACATTCGAAGGTAACCACCGAAGAAGCACGGGGGACTCCCGCGGCGTTGAGCGAAACGTCTATCTATACCATCTCCTTCCACTCCCCATTTTCTCACACCTCTGGAAGGATCTCAATTGTAGCCGGAACGGTGTCTAGCTGTCGCCCTCCATGATTAGAGACCCACAGCGCGTCCACTCCGTGCGCCAGTGCCTCCTCCGCCGCTTCCCTCGTCATCACACTCTTGAGCACTATCTGGATAGAAGAACGAGTGCTCTGTTCAACACGCGTTCACTACTATAGGCGTGTTTCTCGGCGATTCAAAAATGGCCATTGTTGGGCAAAACGGATATATGTAGAATACGGTACAAAAGCTAACCTACAAATGTTTTGCAAAAAAATGAATCTTGACAACATGACAACTCAGGTGGTCACTGAAACCGTTCAGCAAATACCTTCATGTCCCCGCAGATAGTTCTCAGCCAGTGAACGTCGTCCCAGTTCAGACTCTTCCCTGCTTCAGGCCGAGCGTCAGACGCCTGTCCCTGCAAGAACCACGCACAACAGCAGCTGTTCAGTGTACACCAAAGACGGGAACACAAACGTATCATACAGGCAGCTAGCTGCCAGTGTAAGGAAAAAAATGTGAGACACATCTATCTCTGATGTGCCGGAACACTCCCTCCCGGGGAATGGGGTGTAAGAGCATGGAGCACGATTCGTGCACAACAACGGCATGCCGTACACTGAAGTTATTCCGAGAGCGCCAGGCGACCCAGAGCAAAAAACGGTCATCCAAAATGACCTGCAGTATGTTTGCTTCTGGTTATTTGGCGTGAATAACAGCTTTGACTGTGACAAACTGTGAGCTGACCAAATCAATGGTTCCGTCGGGACGGCGACCGATGCGTGCCCCTGTTGCCGATACCACTCGGCCCTCCGCAAGCCTAGAGGCCAACTCGTAGCAGTTCCGCAGATCCGCCTCCCTCCGGCCGAGCACGGGGCGATCCACGGTAACGACAAGCGCGGTGTACCCGGCCGCGTTGGCTCGCCTAACGAGCCCGGCGAGCACTGCTCTGTTCTTTTGTTTCGTAGAACATATCAAATTGTGTGCAAAATGTTGAAAGGGCGACAGCGAATGAAGGGGGTGAGGGAGGGGGGCAGGAAGTAAACAGCCACGTCGAGTGGGAATATTGCCTGAGGCCATGAAGTAGGAAAATAGGGACATTTGGTCATCAGGGTAAAGGAAGTACACCAAATCTCGTAACAATACGATGGCATACTGCAAGCCCTATCAAGTTGTGGTATCTACCGGTTGAGTGTTTCATCAGTACGGACAGATGAAGGTACCGGGTAGAGAGATCAGAACGGCTTTCAATATGAAGAAAACAAAAACAAACAACAACAGGAACAATCTAGTGTACCTTGCGCGATGATAACGAAAGCTGAAACCAGCGCCGCATGTTGGGGCCACCGGCGGTGGCCACATCCTCCAGGGCGGTCGTTGCCGACGAACTCACCACCATCATCGAACAAGTCCCAGCAGCAGCCCTCGCCGTGGCCAACTCACCGTCATCATGGGCAGCGCGGTGTTCAGCTTGCAGCATTGGTGATGAGGCAGCAGCAGGCGCAGCACGAAGAACCGACAGCAGTAGCAGTGGAAATAGTGGCCGTATTCGTGTGATGGGGGAAGTTTGCCGTCCTTATCGAGCTTAACAACAGAAGCGCGATTAGCGAGTATGCATGGGGTACACATATTATTGACACACAAGAGTACTGTGAGGGAGGGCCAGGAGGAAGGACCACGTCTGCTAGTCTCTGCTGAGGCAAAAAAAGTTGCCTTGTGGTTGGCTTCGGTGACAAAACGAAGCACTTAATTCGCTCATACACCTCCATGCGGCACCATTCTATTTCTCTGACACTACCACTGAATTTGTGGCTATCAGTCTCACCTACTTGGCTCTGCTGCAGGAACGTAGTGACACTGTATTCAGCTTAGACTAGAGGCGTCTGCACGCTTTACTGTTCTCAAACAACTCAACGGTACATGGTACGAAAAAAGCAAGACGAAACTATTACCCCCAATCACCTGTGGGCGAGATTCCAATGGGATGCGCCATGCGTTCACCAAGCACCGTGCGTGTGGTGTCAACTGAAGACACGTCTCTCAGCACGCGAGGCCGTAGCCGTAGACGCCTGTACGCAGCCCTGAAGCGACGCGAAATAACATCGAGACAAGTCGCCTATCATCCTTGCTGTGAAACGATAGGAGTATTATAGTACCACTTGGTGGCTCTGTGTGGATGAGATGGGTGGGAAATAGACCCCCACATTCATGCGACAATACCTCTCTTTCGGTTCTCCGTACTTACTCCCCGGTTGACTCAGACTGCCAGACCCCCCTCAGTTATTGTTCATGTCTTCAATTTCAAAACGACGCCGACCGGTAACAGTATCTCGATGTTCCGCGTTGGTCCCATCGTTGCGGTAATTGCCACCACACAGCAAATGTTCGAAGTTTTCACCTCTTAGCGGAATTTCAAGAGTTCCTCTTGTGCAAAATCGACAGCAGGATAAGTGCCTCAAAGCATATTTCGTTTCTGTCCCTAGCTCCAGGATTTGGAGTTGGGTCCTTGTGTACAACCCAAACTGAATGTATCAACAAATTGCACCTCTTTGTTTCAGTAGTCGTTTGGGAAAGGAGCCTGTCCGCAATACTGTCTGTGTCTCAATTGGTGGCTCTGTGTTACCGCGCGCTAGACTACGACGTATATGCTGTACGCTATGTGCCACCTGATGTGTAGCGAGAACAATTTGCTGTACCATTCATCGTCTGAGGATGTGAGGATGCATTGCATGCAGTGCTTGCTCACCTGTTCTCCCTGAGAGTAACCATGTCGTTCGCACCGCCTGCGAAGTAGTCAAACTCTCCTTTCGACAGCACAACCTTTGCACGTCGTTCGTAGTCCGCAAGGTTGACACGCGTGCATCCTGGTCGCGCAGTATCTTAGCGGGAGAACCGTGCAGCGGCGTATGCATACGGCACCGCGAGAGTTGGGGCGAACCTCACACTTTTTGGTACTGAAGACTACGTACACCCAAACATGCCAACAGCAGCAAATATAAGTATGTAGGTGATGGATGGTTTCTTCCTCAACCAGATGGGTGTTCAGGGTAAGATTTACAACATGGCTGAGAACAAAACGTTTGACGAGGATACAATCGCATTATTTTGTTCTTTCGTTCGCCGACACAGAACGAAGGTCCTCTACGAATGAATGCGTACGGGTTGGGGCGGTACGTTATTCGGAATTAATGCCGAAAGCCTCACCCATCTTCGGCGTTGGTAGGGGCGCACCAGCAGAGGAAGCAGAAGCAGTAGCGCTTTGATCTTCGAGCCTCCCCATCCCTCCGCACGAAGCTGCTGCTGCTGCACGATGCTGCAGTGATGACGTCATCATCCGAAATGCAAATTATTATAGCGGCGACGAAGGAACGTGGTGCGGGGTCATGTACTAAAAATGGCGACGCTGTGCGCAGATTTAAATCCTTGGCGGCGTGGTCCATCTTGTGTACTCTCTCAGGATTGAAGATCAGCACACATGAACTGCGAGTTGCAGCCTGAAGGCAGCGTGTCTCCCGCATGGTCTGCAGATGATACTGCTGTAGATGGAGAGGTTTTTGGGTCGAAGAATCAGCTTGGTAGCTTGGTCTGATTGAACCGACCCCAAAGACCTCCAACTTGAGTTAGGAGCTGCCGGCACTCGGATCCTGCCGTTGTACCAACCTTGTAGCCTTCTCCGATAAGACTTGAGGCAAGACTCAGCAGTTCGAGTTCTGCGCCAAGCGGATGACATGCGGCGGGACCATCTTCTCGCCGAGGAGGAACCTTGGGAACAGAACCACGTGTGTTTGCCGCAGAGACGCGGAGACAAGAGGTCGCATTCATGTGCAGTTGCCCTACCAAGTGTGGCGGTTGCTGAGCATGGAGTGATTCCGGTGGGGCGTTGGCCGCGCCGTATTCATTTTCGTCGTTATGTGTCTCTCGCTTGTGAAAATCTCAACGCGAGGAGTCATAGCCTCTGAAGCTTCTACAACAGCAGAGGAGGCCTGGGGCAGGACGAAGACTTCCATCCACTTGAGACACACAGATTAAATTTCCGCCCATGAGACTGAAGCTTCGAAACTCTCGATCCCGGTTTGTGAGAACCAAAGGGCTTGGGAACACGCGCCTACAAATATGGCGCTGTTGCCCCGATTTGGCGGGGACAAACCAGAAGTAAAGTGCTACTCATAATAAAGAGGAAAAAAAATGCTGTTTTGTGCTGCGCGACAACTCAACGTGAGCGATCCCACTGCGGCCACACGACTGTCCATGCAGTTGGGGTGCTAACCTCCCCATCAGAATGCAACCAATAAGGCAGAGCAATCAAAGGGCGATGGGCAAAGCAGGCTACAACCGTTACATCGGGTGGTGTACTCTTGAAAGCAATCACTGACTAAGCTCGCCGACGTAGCCAGCAGTAGATATTGGGGTGTGGTGTGTGTGCCTTTCCGTGGGTGGTTGGTGCTGTCAGTGTCTTGGCCCCACTTGTTGCTCTGCAGGGTTGTTCATTGGTGGTCCATTCTTGGGCACGATTGCCATTGATGTAGCACACGCCCACCCCCAGCTTTCACGAACAGGCAACAACATATCGCACAGGAAACTGTTTCTACAAAGGAACAGCCGCAACGAGACGACTTTGCGCCCGACGTGAAACAATCGTTGGCTCCCATACACATGTCCAAACACTGTAATGGCGAGTGCCGTCGTCATCGGTGTTGGATCGTCGCCCAGCCTGCCGCTGCCGGCTTCGTGGGCTTCTTCTTCTGGTTTCGCCGCCACCAAAACAGAGTCAAGCTACAGGCCACAACTGCGACATACACCCCGCCGACCTGCCAGTCCAACAGCCGACAGACGAAACGCAACAAACACAAGTGATGTCGAGACAAACCAGATTGAAAGAACAACAGCAGATGGTAGATGACAGCAGTGACAGAGGGGGCAACACGAAAATAAAGACAAAGAAAGGGGGTGCACCCTTACTCATAGTCGTGCATGCCGTAGTCGTTAGGCCATTGACCTCGCATCCCTACAAAGCCGGGACGGAGCACGCCGGGGTCTCACCGGACCAGGCTCTCACATCAACAAGCGCGGAGCGCCGTGGGGTACTCGGCGAGTCGCATGGAGGGTGCGCTGCATCCTGCTAAGGGTGTTCGGCATCTTGTGCTTACTCCTTGCATACAAACGACAGCTGCGAATGACAAAAGTTCTATTTTCTGGTGCTTTCATTTCCAGACAGTTATAAGCACTGTGTAACTGCCTCGAGGGTGCTTGACCAATGTAACACAACGTAGTGCGATCACCCCTGTTGCGCGGAATGAGGGTTCTCGACCCCGCACAACACAATCTACTCTACCACCAGTATGGTTACCGCAAAAAAAATAACATAGGCAGTAAAAAATGGTAACCTGCTTGTCGAATTCACGAAGCGATCGGCGTGATTTACAACGTCGTTGCCAAACGACGAAAACCCAACCCCGATGGCTAACACCGGGGCGGGGGGGAAGGGGTCATGTGTGGGGCGTGTAGCGACGCGAACATTGGAGACAGCGGGGACAGGACAACTGTACCCGTCGTGAACCACCACCAAAAAATGTGCACGGAGTCCTAAAACGAAAACGACAAAGACCTTTGATTGCACGACGTTTCCAAAGTCTCACCAAGCCCACGCCGAAGCCGTCTAGTACGGGTATTGGGTTCTTGTCGCTCACGTCCACGTCGATCGAGCCCCCTCCCGAGCATGCTTGCACACAGTAGTCGCACCTGCCGAACCACCAAACAAACGAGTCAAGCAAATAAAGAATAAATGAGTTAGTTTGGAAAAACACACCTCGCCAAGAAGATCGACCACCGACCCCATAGTAGAACATCAGAAGGGAACGTCCAGAGCCACGGCAAGCCCAAGAGTACAACCTGCTGCTTTTACGACAGCCTTCAGAGACTGAAAAAAGGTGACGATCGCACTTGGCGCAAAGAAGAATGTGACACGGCACACGGGAGCAACGGAATCAGAAAATCGCGTCCAAGAAAAATTTGCTCCGAGGTAGAGAGTAGAGAATATTTGTAGAGTTGCACAGAAAATAAGGCAACGCTTGGTCATGCCGTACTGTATAAAGTGCTACAGTGTCCTTCCCACGAGGAGAAAGGAATTTTTTTCTCATGACCGATGAACCGCTTTTATCTCGAACAAGTTGCACCGCGTGTGCCTCGGTTCGTGCAATCAGGTGACATACCACAAGACATCACACCCCCTGCAACGTTTCTTACAGCTCGATTTTTCCACAGCATGGAGCGTGACAGCGCCGACAACGGCGGCATTGAAGCTGTCTCGTCGAGAGAAAATCCGAAAACGCATCGCTTCATGTATGCATCCTCTTCGCCGTGGGGTAGTCGAGCGTGGAAATCGCGCCAGGGTGTATGGTATCTTGTGTTACCTACGGTAGGTTCTGCAAGCGAAAGCCTACATGTTGTTCGGCCATGTCCGAGACACGAGGGAAACACGCCGAGGCAACAGGGCCTGTACAAGGACGAGAGAGAGTGACCCATGACATTCACGCGGAATTGGTTCTTCAAATCAGGGAAGGTCTCACGTGCAAGAAATGATGTCTTCCCTCTTGGGTGGGTACGCGAAAGGAATCGTCGAGCTCCCCGGATCGTAGAACGAGTCGCACGCCAGCGTGTCGAAGGACATAGAAGACGACCCAGAGGACGCAGCCGGCGCAGATGCTGCGACTTGTGAGTCGTCTTCCTTTTCCGAAGCAAGCACATCAAGACTTCCGCTCGCGGGTAAGCGCTTGTTTCCACACGGGGATTCTGTGCTCGAGTTCGCTGATAACACGTGCAATAACAATCAACAAGGGGTAGAGTCATCAAAGGCCGAAGAGCGACAGAGAAGGACGACCAGAACTTGCGCATTCGGTGGCGTCGGGTCGCGATGTTGCTATTGTATGCTTTCTTGCAAATCCCACTCAGCGAATGGAGGGTTACGGTGAAAATAGTACATCATATAGCACATCATTGTCCCGAACGAGGTGAGACAAGTGGCCGTTGCAGCACAGGCAGAGCGACCGCTGTTCCCCTGAAACCAAACGAGGGAGACAGAGACACAGAGAGAGAGGGAGACAGTGGGAGGGAGGCAGGGAGAGGCAGGGAGACAGACAGACAGACAAGAGGAGAAGCAAGAAACACACCAACTACAGCAACCTTAAATAGACTCACTTTCAAAGGAAGGGAAGAAAAATTCCCCGTGCCCCACTGCGCCTGTTTGCAGCTGAAACTTCAGCAAGCCCTGCCGACATCGAGCAAAGCAAGCAGCTCACAGCTTTCAGTGAAAAAGGCAGCCCAGAACCCATTCAATGAGTATCTAAAGTCCATTTAGGGTGAAACAGCAGCCACTCAAGCAGACACCGAAAACATCTGCTGCAATCGTTGGGACACTCGATAAAGCAAGTACATCAAACGAATTATCTGGACGACTCTAAAAATAGGTCAAGAAAAGCTTTTTACGCACACCGGTGTACTTGCAATACTTCCGAGCTTGAATGCGCCCGGCGTGGTTGCTGCTATGCGACTGACCACTACATGTGACCACTTACCAGTCCCGATTGCATAGCCGTCGTCTCGCCTACCACAGCTATGCTCTTGCACGACTCGTATATTCGGCAAGCCATGTCTCCGTCTACGTTGACATCAAGCTGCAGGACTCGCGAAGATCCTCCCGTCAGGTCGTCCCTCCTCTACAAGGAACGAGACACCGATACATTCGTGCAACAGTGGAAATACTTCAAGTGCTAATCGGTAGCATGGACAGCCGATGCATCGCCCATCTCCTGCAAAAAACCGTATATCACGTCTCCACAAAACTGATGAAACAGCAGTTTTCCAAACAGTTGCAACGCATGAGAGTGTGGCGCATGTCAACGATACTATTTAGTGCACGCGAAACCTGCCACGTCACCAAAAGAGATTGAAAATGAGTTGGATTGGAGCTCCCCGTTTTCTTCAAAGCCCTCAATGAAGACATTACGGCACACCACCAATGATAAACAAAAAAAGAGACGGACGGTGATGATCCGCCCGATGTGAATATTTTTGAAGACCACGCGCATGTCCTCGGTGGCAAGAACAGAAACAATTACCCACAAGCTGGATGATGAGTTGCATGGTTACTCGCCTGATCGAAGGGTGGGTCATGCATGGAAGCGAAGGCGCCTTGGTCCGGTGAGCAAACCAACGCGCACCAAAAGTTGACCAGATTAACGGCACAGGCCAGGCAGCCTGTCGTAGAACCGAAGCTGCAGGAAAGGCAAGGGGGGGCGAAGAGTGGAGGCGGCGGAAGACAATTGCAAGCTTTGCCAGCAGCAGCAGCAGCAGCAGCGTGATAAGTGCATAGCTAGCTGTAAGCGTGAGTCCAACGGCATGACGCAGAGAGCGGTAGTACTCAAAAGATACCATGTGCGAGGGCAGCAGGACGCAACAGCATGACATGAAAAAGACCGGAAAGGAACGACGCGATGAAAGACCTCAACACTCAAAAGCTCGCGTTTGCACAGCAAGGCTAGCAAAAAAAATCCGAGGAATGTCCACACGGTCATCTTGAAGCAGATGTTTAATCAGTTACGCTGACATCCCGGGTGAGCCACGCGTACGGACGGACAAAGCATGAACACTCTTCTCTCACCCGAGGGAACCCGTTCACACCAAACGCCATATGGGAAAACGCTTGCCAGAAATACACCTGTTCTGCCAAGCATGCGTATATGGCACACACGACGCTTTCCAACACGTCCGTCCAGAAAGGCAACCTGCGATACTCACGGATCGCCTTCTCTTCGGAATATCCGAGTGTCGCTATATTTCCGTGGGTGCCTTGCCTGCCCTGCCAGTAATCGCACAGCATCGACCCTGTCATCCCCGTCTTGACCCTCCTATGCTACGTACCTCTCCACGAGTAAACCGAGGTTCTGGTAGAGGGCGTAGTTCTGTTGCCAGCTGCAGCATCCGCTATCTTTATATTGTGGGCAGATGATGGGCGCCACGTCTTTCAGGCCCTTTGGAGCGACGAAGTCCACGATGCACCTGTCATCAGGATAATCGAGTGTTGTATCAGTATTCATCGAGTACGAGGGGAGTCGAAACCACGGATGCGTTCGGCGTTCGATATGCCACAATCTTCGTCGAAGCTACTGCTACCGCGTGGCGTGGCCAGACTGACGGACGAATCAATCAGCAACGGCCTTTCCGCGTCACGTATTGGAACAGCACTATTGGTGTGGGTACACATTGCTGCAGTTGATAGGTGAATATGTCGTACGTAGCTAAACGCGTTGCTTGATATTAACTGCGGTGTGAGAAGGGCTTGGATAGCACTTGCTGCACTCTTGCATGCGATACTATTAGTAGTGCTAGAACCACCACCACCACCAGTGCTATACCACCAACCGCAGGGCTGACGGCCGCGTCTAGTTCTTCGCGCCTGTCTTGTGTGCATGGCATGGCCTGGGTCAGGCATGTACATGGATAATTTTTCTTGTTGCTTCTGACGCGACGTAGCTCAGAGCCGTGCGAAAAGGCATGCGTCCGTACGTAGTTGACTTTTTCTTATCGTTTGAATCAATCAATCGATCTCGTTAGATTGCATTGCACGACAGCAGTGTCTGCAGCACCACTACCGGCAAGACAGGGGATCATGTCGTTCTGCAGTTGGGCAGGAGGGCGGACGGGGGGAGGAGGAAACAACAACTAGCCTGGGCGGGTGCAAAGAAGCATGGGCCATCTGTTCGTTCGCGTCAACAGCAAAGGGCGCAACACAAAGTAAGCAACGAAAGTAGTGCGGGAGCCAGTGAGTAGCTTGGCCAAAAAAAAGAAACCGTAGGGCGAACCTGCCGTCTGAATCTGGCCTTCCTTCGTCGCATAGGCCAGTCGATGGGTCTTCAACAGACCCGTCCCAGACTTTGTCGTGAAAAACGCCGAAGCCGTGAGAGCTATCCATGGGAAACGATACGGCCGTGTCACCTTCCGCTGGGATGGGGGTGCAGTCGGTGTCGAGCCCGAACTGAAAGCACTCCTGTGCCAAAATTAGCCGAGGAAGCAAGCAACAGATGGCTCGAGGCATCATGGTTCGGAAGCACGCCCTCCACCGATTCGGTAAAGGAATTAACAAGCGCTGCCGGTCACTCTCGCTCATCAGGACAATTGCATCGGTGTCGTAAGACAAAAACATGCCCACGGGAGAATGTGTTCTCGCTGAGGGTCTGCGCCAACACACACACATCCTACTAAGCGAACACACGCGTGCATCTGTTCCGTTTGCGACTCCCTGGCATGACACGTCGGCGTGTCCTGGAGGTTCGTTCGCTATTCTTCCCCCCCCTCCTGTTTCGTTCCCCTGTGTAACTCTTGTGTTCGTGCCACTTATTGGTGGATACTACTAGTGGAAATCGCGTGTATCCGTGCTTGGTTTGGTGCGCGTCGAAGCTGACACCATCTTCGAGCTCTTCCGCGATACCACCATCAACGTGTCCTCATCAATCCCAAGTTCTACCTGCGTGAAGGCGCACTGTCCGGCATCCACCGTAGGCAGCAGCAGCAGGAGAACGCCCCCGAGATGTGCCAAAACCGCCGCTGTCCCCATGTCGCCGAAGAACCTCAGCAGACGGCAATAACCGAGTACCCTTAGCATCCTCACCGCTCTCAACACCACAAACGAACAGACGACTAGACACGAACACCATGCTCCTCCCCCGTGCATTCGACCGGAAGTTATCGTCAGCATAACCATCAGCATCAACGTTGACATCAACAAGGCGTGTTTTGATCTTGGTATTGGCCGCTTGCATGATGATGATGATGACGTCTTGCGGTTCCTCTGCCAGCGTCTTCCTGGTTGCCGGCATTCCTCTCCCTGCATTAAGCTAGCAGTGCCGTTCGCGTTTTCAATCTTGACACGACTCCCATAAAGCACAGCTATCGCCTTGTCACCTTCGCTTCCCAGCGATCCCATGCCATTGCCTGCCCCAATCGGCATGCTTGTCAGTGAACTCTGCCTCTGACAACAACAGTGTGATCGCCACGGCTCGAGCCGCCCAGCCCTCTCCTGCCGAACAGACGAAACCTGAAAGCTTCATTGCATCGAAACACGAGGATGCATAGACTAATCTGGTAAGCACGACGGCTGTGAGGCTGGGCAGCGAGATTAAAATACCAAAGGGCAACTGACAAAATGGGTTTTGCTCCATGTGTTTGGGCACAAACATGGGGTAAACTTTTTTTCGGTGTGGGGCGCAACGCCTGACGCCGGGTAGGCTCCTTTAAGCGCCTTCTAGCGCTTAAGCTCCATACGCCAGGTCCTTAGGAAGAACGCCCATTTTTTATTTTTTTTCACCCACAGGAACAGAGGGTTAACTAGGGCCTGGAAGACTGGAGGTTTGTTGGAGGAACCCATGTTGTTCACGAAACCACGAAACCGCGGGGTGCATCCCCATGTCTGCCAAAAGTTGTATATCGTACCCCATTTTGTTCACGAACGCACCCCATAATGTTCTGTTCAAGGCGTACCCTTCTGTTAGGTGGTGACGCTCCTGCGGACTGCCAAAACGGCAAACAACAACCAACCGCAGACCACCATATCTCTATATCTTCTGTCTCCTTGCCTCGCCGCAGACCACAACAAAGCCTGTTCGCTGGACCGCAGGCCAGCATACCTCAGCATTGCCTTCTTGCCGCGCCACAGACCGCGAAACCTGCGTATTGCACCGCAGACCACCATACCCCAACATCTTCTGTCGCCACACCTATGATGATGATCTACGGTTGATCGTTGGTTGCCATCTTGGAGCGTCACCACTGAACAAAAAAGGGGTATGTCTTGAACATTATGGGGTACATTTGTGAACAAAATGGGGTACGAGATAAACTTACAGCAGACAGGGGGTTGTACTCGCGGTTTCGTGAACAAAATGGGATCCTCCAACAAGCTCCCCTCTGCCAGGCCCTAGTGAACCCTCTGTTCTTGTGGGTGAAAAAAAAAAAATGGTCGTCCTTTCTGGGACCTGGCGCATGGAGCTCAAGCGCTAGAAGGCGGTCTACCCGGCGTCCGGCGTTGCGCCAACACCGAAAAAAAGTATACCCCATTTTGTGCCCAAAAACACGGGGTACCTCATTTGTGTATTGCCCTAAAAGCAGGATTACTGCTGTTGTAAATAGTACGCGGGACATGCTGTGAGAAACGAGAGAGGGGGTCAGAGAGCGTGCCCACAAATTCACAAGGGAGGCGGGGGAGTGAGAGAGAGCCAGCGAAAGAGTAGTTCGGCACAGCAGTCGCCGCCGTAGGGGGGAATGGGAGTACTCGACGTCCAGGTTACAATAGAGAGAAAAATCCAAAATTTGACAATAAATGCTGCACTGTAGATTGTGCAAGTGTGGCATGCGAAGATCATGTCAACGCAGCGGCGTTGCACTATAGATGCGAACATGCGAACCATACTACGCAAAGCGCGCCGCATTATCAATTGCCTCTGCAGGTAGGGTCGTCGGGTTTGAAAATGCATTGTGGAACTTGAAGGACGTCTCGTTACGTACAGCAGTATCGAGAAAATCAAGGAAGACACTGACCTTCTCCTATGCTGCGTGATGCAGCTAGCGCAGAGATACCACGTGGACCCTATTAGCAGTAGTCGGAGCCGTCTCCTCAGAGCTGGAGGCACGCTTGATCAGCCGTGCCGTGTGTTGGGTGCTTGTCTTGTTTCTCCAAATCCGGGGGGACTGCGGCTGAGTGTTGTGTGGGGGGGGGGGCTTCCGAGCGGATTTTTTTTGAGAGACAGCACGCACACAGCTGCTGACATTCACGAGGCGTAGGCTAGAGGTGGCGGTCGCTCCGACTATTGGAATACACCAACAGCAACTTCGCACTTGCTGCCCGCTGCAGCTCAAGGCACACCCGAGAAAAGTGAGCGTGAAGGTGAGAGTAACTAGACGGGCAATATTAGGTTGATTCCCGAGAGGGTGCACAACGACCCGACCAGCCGCTTTGTATGACTGACGGACCCTGTCTGACTTCCATTTCCAACCTCCCCAGCTCCGCCGTGAATCTGCTATTTAGCTTTGTCTGGTCTTAACATATTAGCCCTCTCCTGGGTGGTAGCATTGCCGGCAGCAGCACACACGCAGCCAAGTCAGCAACAAAAACGTCGGGTAGTTGCAAAATCTGGAGAGGGCCAAGGAGGCGCGGAACGTTCTAGCAGGTGGCCATAATTTGAGTCTGTTCGGTTCAGCCACCAGAGAAAAAGAGAAAGAACTTGAGAATATGCTTTTGGGTCTGGTCTGCGTGTGTTGTCTTTTTTTGTCGTGTTTGGTGTGTTTGCATCTTCGTCTGCAAGGACAAGAGCAGCCATCTAATGTATCGTGGAACCCTGCTCTAGACCAGATAGCTGACAGACTTATTGATTCATCCTTGGCATGACCATCCCCCACTCCTACATTTTGGAATGTATGTTTCAGCTGTTGACTGACTGATGTGCTACGCTTCCAGCGGCATCCCACAACAATGACACGATTGGTGACACTCGAAAAGTTCTAACAATAAAAAAAAATAGGAGTGGCCAAAATCGGGTACACCCGGCCCCAATCCGGCCATTATCGGGTACCTTGTTTTACACAGTCGGCAGCGCCCTCCTGGCGCCATCTGATTGGCCGACGCCCGCCCCTACCCGGCCCTGACCCTATTCCCAGCGGGTGCACCCGATCTTGGCTACTCACCCTCCGGAGGGGTGGGTACCCGATCTTACTCTCGCCTACCCGAAAATGGCTGGGCTTTTCGACCAACAGACCACCAGCAGACCACGCTCNGGACCTAACGTGGCTAACGCGGCGGAACTCTCGTTTGAAGTGGATCAGTGGATCTCTCTCCTGCGAGACTCCTCCTGCAACCCACCGCCGACGGCGGAACTCTCTCGGTTCTCGTTTCGTATCGGAGAGGGAGGAGAGAGAGGGCCAGGCGGGCGGCGGTGGATGAATACCTCTCAATACCTCACTTGATCACTTGAGCTGCACACAAATACATGACGCAGCTCAGATATGTCCACGGAAGCATCAGGCACAGAAGCATCAGGGTGTCGCTTTCGTCTGGAATACATGTATAGACACATCAAGACCGGAGATGTATGGCACGTTGTTGTGTACGCAGAGGGTCGTTCGTACACAGCAATGCAGCAGCAGCAAGCAGTGGATGCCGTGGTTATGTCTCGATCAAGACCGGAGATATAGGACACATTGTTGTGTAGGAAGAGGATCGTCCAGTAATGCAGCAGCAGCAAGCAGTGGATGCCGTGGGAGAGACAAGGAACTGCGGGCTTGCCACAGGAGATGGGGAAAGATAGAGAGAGTGGTGGTCCACGCAGCATGAACGCTGTTCTAAGATGACTGGTGGTGAAGTAGCACGCGCCTTGCGCGAGGACCGCGGTGTTCTCTACTTCATCGCTCATATTCTGCCGACACCAGTCTACCGTTCAGGCAAGAGTGCCGAGATGGACCACGAGAGACTTGGTGTGTTGAGGAGCGAGATCTACTTCAAACGAGAATTCTGCCGCGTTGCAGGAGAGAGATCCACTGATCCGCTTCAAACGAGAGTTCCGCCGCGTTAGCCGCGTTAGGTCCCCCTCCGCCCGCCGTCGGAAGCGTCGGAACTCGAGTGCGGGGTGTTGGTGACGTGCGTTCGTGAGCGTGGTCTGCTGGTGGTCTGTTGGTCGAATAGCCCAGCCATTCTCGGGTAGGCGAGAGTAAGATCGGGTACCCACCCCTCCGGGGGGTGAGTAGCCAAGATCGGGTGCACCCGGTGGGAATAGGGTCAGGGCCGGGTAGGGGCGGGCGCCGACCGATCAGATGGCGCCAGGAGGGCGCTGCCGACTGTGTAAAACAAGGTACCCGATAATGGCCGGATTGGGGCCGGGTGTACCCGATTTTGGCCACTCCTCAAAAAAGAAATACAATTGCCCATGTTTACAAATTGGAATTTGATGGGAGTGTCTGACACCAGCTTCTGGCTCTCTCGCTTCTTAAAAAGGAGAGTACTTCGTGAACAGATGTGTTCGTTTCTCCAGGGATGAGGCGTCTCCTTCTGGGTGTTTCTCACGTGTCCCGAGGCCCGAATTCCAACATGTTCTGAGTTTTGAAGGAATCTTTCGCGGGCTTATTTTCGTTTTTGTGTTGCCGAGCCTAACGAACACCCACACCGCCGCTGGCACCCACCCACTCCCGTGGTTGGTATCAAAACGAACGCTCCTTCCCTTTTTCGAACAGCAGGCAGACAGGCAAGGGGTTCGGGTGAACAAGCGCTGCACATCACCGGACGGACGTCAAGTCTTTTCCCGAGGATTCGACTCTGGGATCGGCAGGAGTGAGCCACGAAGTGTTGCAAATAATTGCCTTTCTTCAACATACGGACACAGGCTGAGCACTGGCAATTGTTGCGGAAGGCGGACAGCCAAGATACACCAGGGACGAAGGAGGGGGGAATCAAGAAAAGAAGAAGGTATTCAATCAAGCATGACTTCTTTCTCGTCCGGGGGTGGTGGGGGTGCCGGTGATGTCTTCATCGGGTCATTCAACATCAACTCGGAGGATCTCACAGTTGACGCTGCCAGGGCCTGGCTCAAGCAGGCAGAGGGTGCGGACATCGTTGCCTTGGGACTGCAGGTAGGTGAAGAGGTGGAAAGGGGTGGACAATGGTCACGATAGAAACGGAACCGTGGGCGTCCAGCGCTCCAACGTTGCTGTACTCGAACGATCGCAGCGTTATTTTCAGCAAGGAAGCACGGCCGTGCTATCCACTCTTGGCGATACAGTAGAGTAGATCGATGGTTAATTCACCCAAAACTTGGCTTTCCGCCCTTCAAACCCCATCCCTACCCCTCACGAATCGGCAGTTGTTTGTTGCGTCACTCTTTCTGCTGTAGGCGGGAAGCCTAGTGTGGTGCATTGAGTAGGTGTTTCGTTTGCGCACGTGGCCGTTTAGGGCACACACCACAACAGCAATCAGCAACGCTGGTTGCTGGTTGGTATCCCGACGTGTGGAGACCACCGCCTTCTGCGAGATGTAAGCTGCTGCAGTGCTTCAAAGGAAACAAGGGGTGGTATCTAGGGTCCGCCGACAAGCGCTGTCCATGATGCAGTTACCCCGCAAACATGTTTGCCACCAAGCAAATTCAATATGCTTTCAATATGCTTATGTGAAGACAGCAACAATATTGCTGATTGGTGATTTGTCATGAGCGACACGTAGCGTCTGATGGTGAAACCAATAGCACATGTTTTGGTGCGGAAATGTCGTTGGTGATTGCTTCGCTTTTCGCTTTGCGACATGATTCCCAAATCATGATCGTGCCGTTGGTGTTTTCTGTGTCGGGCTTGCTTGCTGCTGCTGCTTCTGCTACTGCTTCAAAAGGAATGTGGTACCGTTCCAGCCAACCCGTTCCCGGAGCCAATCAACGGCAAGGCGATCGCGATGTGGCAGCACGTCAAAGACGTCGCCGTCCCCGAGGCAAGAGTTGAATGCGCCAATCTCGTCGGCTGGGGGTCCCGTGGAATGGCCGGGGTGGCCCAGGCAGCCGTGGCAGCGAAGCTGGCTGCAGCGCACAGGGGCGAGAGGGCCCAAGCGGGCGCTACATCTACCGGTGTGACGAAAGCGCCGCTGGCCTGCGGCAGTGGGGGTGATGCCGGGCAAGGACAGGAAGAGGATGATTCTTTCGAGGAGCCCCCGAGCAGCGGGCCGGTGCTGCTGGGTGGCTCTTCTGAGGGTTGCACGGGTATGCGGCAGGAGTCTTACTACCTTCGGGGTGAGATCGACGAAGGCCGGGACAACAAGATGCTAGCCACCATCGCCGACTGCATCCCAGGTGTGGCGAACGGCATTCTTTTTCACGAAACTTGTATGTTTCAACAACACTTGTTCGATACACTACATACACTGATAGTCTCGTATCTAGAGTAGACAGATTTGTTGCACTGCTGTGTCCGAGCCAGCAGCCAGGCTAGCTTACTCAGGACGGTGGCTGTATTATTTTTTTCACGGCCTTTTTGCTGGAGGGGTGGTGGTCGTTATCGTTAAGTGGTGTCAGCACACGGCGGTCCACATGGTTATTACGTAAAGAGGCGGTCGCCAAGAAGCTTTAAGCTCCGAATGCGTCCTAATGTGCCCACATGGGTTGGGAGTTCGGATCTCGGCGAAGTTCCTACGTTTCGTCGACACCGTCCAATGTCGCGGAAAACGAGTTCCATGCACCGCTGGAAGATAAAGTTATTTTTGTGGGTTGCCCCGAATCGCAGCTGCTGAATAGAAAAGCAAGACGGCGGGGGGGGGTAGCAACTGCAGGCGGCGGTTACAAAACGGGCTGAAAAATTGGCGTGTTGATAGCTATTCGATGTGCCTCCTCGGATGCCGCTCCTCCGATGCAGCTACCCTAGAGGCAGCTAATAAGAACAGTACGTAAGATTCACAATGTGCTTTTTTTATGACACTTGACTCCGGCTTGGGTCCGCGCCAATGGGACAGGACGGCAATTGGTTGCCGATGTGGCCATGGGCGAGACGCCGACTCACGGCAAGATTAAGGTCAACATATCAAGAAACTTGTCACCAAAGACACCCCCGCGAGGCGTCTCGGCGTCATCAGCAGCAATCGAGGCTGCGATGGCAGCTGGCGCCAACCACGAATCAAGCAGCGAAGGGTTGGACGCTGCCGGGTGCGACGGGCCTCTCGACGAGAGCGGAAGGCCGGACTGGTCTGCCGGGGACGTCGGTGCGGGGGGCGTCACCACCCATCACAATGGTAGCGGCAGTGCAGACCCCGCTAACGGCGCTGTGTTCAAGACCGTAGAATGGTACGGAACTATCCGTCTTCTTGTCTTCGTAAGAGAAGGTCAGTGCCCATGGTGTAGTGTAACATACCTACTGTTATCTGTGTAATTTCCCTTTCATATGGTCTGGAACTGCTGGCAACTGTTCCACAATCGTACTTACTAAAACAGCTGTAGGGGGATGACACGCTCTCCGCTCGCCTTTGTAGCTGAGTACAGTTCGTGCGTAGACCGATTCTTCGGGGCTGGCTATACTGTATCAGTGAGGAATGATGAAGACACCTCCAGCTTCTCCTTGTCCATGGTGATCTCCATGTCTTGTCCGGGAATTGGCTGCCATGTAGTGTGACAAATTGCTGGAGACCCATCGGTTGACGTAGATCATCAAAGCTTCTCTTCAGAGAAGCCAATTGACGCGCGAACGGCGTCATAACAGTTTGCACAGAACAGTCGCGGCCGAGGCACGCGATAAGCAAAGTAACGAACGAGTCATAGCGTCCACTTAAACGGATAATTCGAAAAATTGTTTTCACATGGGGGGGATTGAACTGAAACTCCGGGTTGGACAACGTTTGATGAAAACGTGTCGTGATGAGACTGCAATCAAAGTCCCTTCGTCGTAGATGCGGCATAACCGCTGCCTCTTCGACACCTGTCGACAGGAAACAGGGAAGCATCCGACCCTTCAATTCCTGCTTATCCCCCCCTTCACTCCTGGCGCCGCGGCCAGAACGAACATGTTGTTCGTACCCAGACAGCCACCTCCTAAATTTATCATTAGTTTTTTTGTATTTTGTGCAGATTCTGCGCGAAGCTGCCACAAATCACTGGGTCGTTTTTCATCTTTCGTTGGTTCATGTGCTCGGTTGTTGCTCCGCTGACGGCGTCACCGCGTCTATCTCACGGCTTGACACGCGCGTGTTGATGTTAATTGTTGGCATTGATCGATCGCAACACAGACCTCTACAAGAACCTTAGAGTTAAAACCGTGGTCATTCCTGCCGGGGATAAGCCTTCGGTAGTTGCCGATGCTCCGGAGGACTACGCGAAGGACACCTCTCCGGACAAAGGCGCCGTGGCTTGCTACCTAGAGGACCCGTCGAGCGAGAGCCCGCTGCAGCTGGCGCTTGTTAACTGCCATCTCTACGGCACGAACAAGTATGGCGTGAAGGAGGCCGTCTTCGACAAGGTGACTTGCTTGCTGCTATCACACGCCTCGGGATAGCTGATGCGGATGGTGCTGCTGGTGCTGCTGGTGCTACTGAGTAGTCTTGCCAACACTCGGTGGGTGGTACGCACTGCCGTTCGTTTCTGTTGTACTGCAGGCGCTTCAACAGTTTGGGTGACGCGCACTGCATACGTGTCAGGTACAAGTACACGCGGCATGCACAGCACCAGCTGCTTGTACCCATGGGGTACATTCACTCCCTGGACTGCTGTCTTCATCTCGGTTTGGGTTGATGCCTACCCTGCACTCGCCCTTGGCGCCCGTTTGTAGTCACCCCCTGCCTGTGCTTCCTCGTTCTGTGCTGCCCCCTGTTCCCTGCTGTTGCCCACAGTACCGAATGGCGCAACTCCGTGCGATAGACTTGGCCCTCAAGGGCACTATACCAACCGCGGCAACAGCGCCGCTCGTACTCTTCGGAGACCTCAACTTCAGGTACGACGCAATTTTCATGCTACGCTCTAATCTCGCTTTAGCTTAACGCCCACGGTTGCGGTTGTTGTTGCTTGTCACGTGGCTTTGATTGCTCCAGCGCAGCAGTGCTCAATCGGTTCACCTACTTTAGTACCGAGTACAGCAATTGATGTGCTTCGTGCCAAAGCTGACCCGTTGTGCGCTCAGCGAAGTAAAAAGTGCATAGCCTCATTCAGGAGCCGACGGTGTCACCAGGGTGGGCGGGGATGCCGTGTGCTGAGCAACCGCAACACACGGCATATCAACCTTCGTTTTCATCTGCTTGCCTGTTTGCTATGGCACGTTTTGTAATTTCGGTGGCATTGTGACGGCATCGCTTTCGTTTTCGAACGACGGCAGGGTGGAGATGCTGAGCGGAACGGAAGATAAGGCTAAGGGCGGGAACGATTTCCAGGCAGTCAGAGAGGTATTATTCGTTTCATGGCAGCCTCAGCGACAGCATGAAATTATGCTGCGCGACGTTACTTGACGGCAGTATTCTAACATCATGTATTGCGATTGCACCGGCCTCACGCTGCGCTGCTGCAATAATAGCCTCCCAAGTGACTGCGAAACATTCCGGGTGCGTTGCTGCTTCTGGATGGTTATTGCTGCGTTTTTGTGCGCATGTCGCCAACCATCAAAGATCCGAGCAACAATTCTACCCGTAAGAACCTGTTATATTTCGATTGTTGCTTGATTCACTTGATGACAACGGCGGCGTTTGATATGTATACAGCAGTATCGCGGCTTGTGTCGTTGATGGAATGGGGCATGAAAACAGCATTCTCACGACGTAAGCTAGCGGAAGGGTGCGTGTTTCCTGTCGGCAAACCCTCCCGCCCTTCCTCCCTCATCTCCCCTCTCCCTCCCTCCCTCCCTCCCTTCCCCCTTCCAACGCTGTGTCCGTCCCTGCCTTTTGTGCGTTGGTCACATCTTGTTGTATTTGCGTGTCATGTGTTTTGGCCGCTGGGCATTGGGGTACAATGCGCTGCACGCCACTGGTGTGCGATGCGACAATCGGTGCACCGATACGTCAACGCCAAACGTCCATGTATATATACAACACAATTTAATGAAAATCAAGATGGCGGAAAAGTGCAACTCCACGGTCCTACTCGACTTGTACAACAGAGCAGATAGGCTGAGGCCACTGCTCGACGGAGAAAAAGGAGGATGCAGAGATAGCCCTTTCGCGGAAGGACACAGGGGAGAGACTGGTAGCGCTACGGGTGATGATGGCAGGGCGTCTCTCGAGGTTAGTAAGGCTTGGAAACACGGTTTGGGTGCTAAAGTTACCTGTCGTGCTTTACCAGTTGTGCGGAATGTTTTGATTACTCAAGCGCCTGACCGACCGGTAGTTTTGGTGGCATATTCTACACAGCCGAAACCAACGCGCTGCACGTAGACTTCATGTGTGTACATCTAGGGATATCCTCTCGAGTCTCAACTTGCATGTCGTGTTTTCCAATGTTATGACGTACAATGTGCAACACACGTATTGTACTTACTCCCTTGCATGCATCTTGACAGATCGTCGCCTTTGTCGATCGCTGTATGCTAACAAGACATGCAGCTGTAGTTGAACGACGTTTTTAATCTGCACCGAATTCCAGGATGCTGCGATGCCGTGGCTACTCACGGGTTTGAGGGATGGTTTGGGCCAATCTCTTACTGCAGGTCATCCGGTGCGACCAACCTTCACTTTTAAGCCCAAGGACGCCTCGAGTACTCCTCGCAGGTGTGATGTTGGCCATGTGCATACTGTACTGTTGAAAGCAGGGCCCCCTGTTGTTGTGCCCCCAAGAACAACTGCATTGTCTCTACATGCCTTGCAACGTGAGTACTCACCACGTAAAATAATACTACGTGGGCTTTTTCGCTCAGAAGATTAACTCGATGCATGTTAAGGGCGGCTTGTTCCTGTGGTTTTTGCGGGCTATTGTACCGTATATTTTTTTGCAGGTATAACGACAAGCGGACTCCGTCATGGACCGACCGCATCTTGTGGCGAGGCTTTGAAGACGACGAGCGCCTTGACGCCCATCCCCAACAAGAAGGCTCTCCTAGAGGACAACCTGTTTCTGGCGCTGGTCGTGCTATCAACAGCACCTTCGCCTCGGTACAGGAAGTGATCGCGTCGGACCATGAGCCCGTCTTCTGCGTGCTTGGCCTACCACGTAAGATTATCGCACACGGCAGGGCGTAGTCTGTTGTGGCTGCTGCGGCGCGTTGCTGTCTGTACTTTCAACAACCTCTACTGTACCATCCTATACCAATACCTCCGCTGCGGTGCTCTTGAAGGCGATGAGACGAATCACATCTCGCCAACAGTCTGAAAAGCTAGTTTCACCTATGAAAGACAAACAGCGGGGTAGTGTAGAGAGGGCACAGACGGAAAGTAGGACCCATCCATTGCTTCAACCCGGCAACTAAGGTCCGACCATACCAATTATTTCTCCGCGATTATTTTCCGAAGTCTACCTAGCTCGTTGGCGTTTGTGTTCCACAGACCAATCACATCCGGCCTTCACCGTGTCAAGGTGTGAGACACGCATGTCATGATGCCATGCAAGGCTGTAGTACGCCCTGTGTTTGTGTCCACGCACCCCTCTGACACCGGCGGGCGAGCTCTTAGCTCTTCTTCTCTTCGTTAAGTTTTTCCCGAACTAAGCGCACATGATCTTCCACCCGAACCAAGCGTACAGTATCTACAACAAAAGGATACACGTGAACAATCAAAAGAGAAGCTCTTGTAGGCCAGCTTGATCCAAGCGATCAGTCAGACAACACACCTATTCCGAAGCAAACAAGCCCCAGGTAGAGATTCAATTGTTAGCTGAAACGTGTACTGCTGAGGTATCCGTGTTGTTTGTAGCATACCACACGCTCACATTGTCGCATAGACCGCTACTGCTGCATCATCGCAGTACAGCATTAGCCATGATTCAGAGAACGGCTGTTTAGTCGAAATGACTGCTGGTCTAATGCTGGCTGCCTTGGTGGTACCGCATCGCAGTATAAATAGCGCCGCTTGCCGCATGCAACACCGCAGGAAACGAGCCGGTGTCTTGACGGCCTCGGTGCTTCAGTGGCGCCGTCGGGGGGCTCTTCGTTTCGTCATCACCGTCACCACGTTACATATTTCCGCAGCCCAAAGGAAGGGGCTAGAAACTAGAGAACCATTTTCTTGGTTAAACGAGGGGGAGAAGGAAGTCATACAAGAGACCCATTGGCCTCTCCGCTGATGGTTTTGGTGTACGTGTGTCTTCACGGCCGTTGCGGCAGCACCGATCGCATGGGCGCGTCAGATCAACAGGGTTGCGCTCACGAAAAATGATGAACGTTCTCATGTAGCTGAGGCCGACGCCCGTGTTGTAGCGAAGCACGCCATGAGGAAGGATGCCGAAGGCGTGTAGAGGGATGTACATATAGTCTAACAGGAATCCGTCTCTTCAGTACAGGAACTGGGTAGGTCTTGATTGTAGGATTTTGTTTTGGTTGGCAGTACAGCTGGTGGACAGTTGAGTGTGTGGAAATTTGTTCGCGTGAGAATGACACTCAGCGCGTCGTGCATCAGCAGACACCAGGATTAGCTTCTTTCAAAGCAGGATCACGCGTGTGTGGATGCGGCATTCAGTGTTTGGTTGAACGTGTGCACGCCAAACGACGCCATTTTTTGCCGGTGCTGAGCATGGGGATTATAACTGCAGCTGCTCTAGACACGTCGAAGGTGTTTCATTGTTTGTGGGGCGTTCACGTGCACTAAATCAATTTTATGGCTGAGAGTGGAGCAGAGCTCTCCACGGTCGTGCTTGTCGTAAGCTCTCTGATCGTGCTTGTTGTAACTAGGGTAAAGAATTATTTGTATGGTCCACGGTAGGTGTTCAATTGATTGTGTTGTGTGTCGGTAGATCCCACGTGTGTTCTAGAGTGTTGCACTACGGGCGTGAGGGAAATCTGTAATGCGTGACGCTAGTCCATGAACCACTCCAGACTGCTCTGGCTGTACCTCAGACACGTCGAATTATCCAACCAGACAAGTGCTGTGTAGGCCTGCGCTATACTTCTACAGAAACGCCAGTGCGATTCAAGCGAGACAGCACGCGGTGCTCCCGCCAGATTGCCAGACTCTCGGTCGGCATGTTGCCACAAGGCCCTCTACATTCAATATCAATCAACAAGAAACAGGAAAGCCATCATGGACCAACGCTCTGGCTTCGCACGCAAGCGCGCGTTGTCTACTCCTATGTACGTCGATACCGTGACAAACGCTTCAACGATTGACGCATTTGGGCCATTCGAGACTGTTTCGTAGGAGCATCCAAAACCACAATCATACCGCACCAGACATAATAGACATAGCTAATGGCTGCTCGCGGGATTGGGGACAAACTAACATATAATGACGCAAATTTTAACACGAGCCGAAAACTCTACCCAGTCTAATCTCCCCGAAGAATAGCCGCATCTAGGTTGCCTTACACAATCAAGAAGTTGCGCATCACGCTCTCCCCCTTGTACCGGCACAGGCAAAGGAGTGGCAGGCGAATGCCCCCTCATCTTGACCTACACCACGCTTATGTTTACCTTGCGGTGCACACGGCTACAAAGAGTGGGCGACGCTTACAGTGGCACTGACACGCTCCAGCCTACCTAGGTATAGGAAGAGTACAGGAATAGCATGACACAGAAGGTTGACATATCTGACTAAACAACACTGCATCCCACGCTTACAGATGATAACGCACTATAGTACAGTCCACACGCCTAGCAGCCAAGGCTCGGGAGAAGAGCAAGTCGACCACCTTAACTGGTACCCTCCATCGTGAAATGGCCAAGATCAATGACAAATATCCCGTAGCATTAGACTACATAGTACCTGACACCAAAACCAACGCTTCGGCTGAGAGTAAAGCCCACTATGCTTACGCTATGAAATGATCAAATGCAACCGTGACGCAAAGGCGAACACGCTCGATTCTGCATAAAGGTCGCCCATGTAAAAATATCGCACACTCAAAACATTGGCCTGCAGGGGACAACAGCGATAGGTGCGCATCGAGCATTCCTAAACAAATAACGGGTGTGCCGACCAACACTGCAGCAGTCACGAGGAGAAAGCATGGTCACCAATCAGCTGCGAGACCTTTAAATCCAGACAGCGTCTCAGATAGCGCCTGATCTGAGATCATCCGCATTGCTACTCGACAGACGTTTGGGGAGACGCGACCCTTTAACGGTCATCGTCAACGATCATCCGCACAAGTTCATCCCCCAAGCACTCAACACACAACTTGTGGTGTGCTGCAACAGCAGCAAGAACAGGTGCAGCGTCACAAGTAGACACGAGAAAAACTATGAACAGAGATGGTCGTCGAAGGCGCTGCCCCAAAAGAGTGACCCTCTTAACCGATACTCAGCACTCCGGCCAATCAACACGCAGGCTCTGCGTCCGAGTCAGTGGTGAAGCACGTGGTAGTTTTAACGATTGGTTCCAAGAAGATCTCCACCTCGTTGTCTCTGTATGTGGTGTCATCGCACCCTTCGAACCTAGTGGACAGCGTCATCAGAATCAGGGGTGGAAGCAGAGAGTAAGCGGGGGAAACAATGCTTCTAGAAGCTGGCTCCTAGCAGCAGACTAATATTATTTTTATTATTGTTTCTTTTTTTGTCTTCACTTCAAATCAGCGCTCACAGCACTATTGCCGCTTTACTCCTGGTCACATAGAAGAGCTCCTCTCTACTCTCCCCTCCTGCGGTACTTTGCCTTCGATTTTTAATGCGATAAGAGTTCAGCACTCTCTTCCTTCTGTGTACACACGAACTAGCGCTATCCAATTCTCAGGAGCGGAAGCGAGAGAACAACTCACTTTGCAAGAAAAGCTCGCTTACGCCGAGATTCGAACCTCTGACCTGACCTCTAGAAGGTTTCGAGGATACCAACTAGACCACCGGGGCGACCGGCTGTGTATTATAGGATGGAGCATAGACCTCGAGTGTCAACAATGCCTATATAATATGCTACCAGTAGTGTTTTGGCTGACACCTTGTCGGGTATGTCTTGTTTTACTGGTTGGACAGACTAATCTCTTGACAGGGAGCTAGACCTCCTCTCCTAGGTTGTTGTACTTTCGTGTGGGAAAAACGTGACAGCAAGAATACCAGAGTTGTCCGGGCGAATGATTGATTGATACAACATTTCGGGGTCAGCTGTACTTTGCGGAGTTCTTCTGTGCTGGGGCAGTCAACGCGGTTTTCCTACAAAGCGCATCATATTCCAACATCCCTCGGTGTCATGCGTCACCGTGTCGTGTAAGGCGTCACGTGTGTCACGTAATGAAGACGGTGAAGAACTCATCGACATCACGGTGGCACAATTTCATTCATCACTCACGATATTGTGGCTGCGGAGGAGATGCGATTGTTGACGATGAACATCGACTTGGCGTCCTTCAGCTTGATGGACTCCAAGTAAGTGACACTCAAGTAATTCCTCCTGTGCGCATGCGAGACACGTTATAACGTTCCAAGACATCCGTCCGAACAAGCCACCATCACCCAACAACAACAACGTATTGAGCATGAGCTACTCACAAAATCATGCAAATGGCTACAGTAGAAAGAAGCTAATCCTTAGCACCCTCTGCTTGATCTGGAGATGACCACGGCACAGCGATCAAACGAGGCGATGAGATGCTGATGAATCTATGGAGAATGCCATGAAATTTCGACCGATGTGACGATGCCCACAGTGCCCTTGCAGCGACCAACCACAGTGCAACAAGCGCATGCGAAAGAGAGTATCCAGACCTCTTTGAGCACGTTTCTGCGTCAAGCCATGTGTCAAGCAAGCCATGTGACGCCCTTACCAGAAAACGATCCCATCGGAAAGTCCGTCTGAGCCTTCCACATCTGGTGAGTCAGATCCCATATCTGACAAGGGCGGGTGGGAGCACATACATACGTTGGTACGTGTGACGCAAGCATCATCTATCTCATGAGAAAACACATGGGCATGCACATACCAACGCAAAAATATATCTTGGCTCGTTCGTGCCCGTGGAGCAAACAGAACAGAGGCACGTGTTTGTTGCGTGCATAACAGAAGCTCGTCATTTCTAAAAGGCAGGTGTGTAGATGTGAAAACTGTTGGAGAGCCGATCTCTCTGTTTACGAGAAGTCTGCGTTGACTCGAAAACACCGCAAGACGCAGGGCACACGTTTCTCTTCTCTTCTTGTTGTCTGTTGGGGTCGGAAAAATATGTTAACCAGATGTCACTTTCATTTCAAACCGGCATCGTAGGAGGATCGTGTGTTTTCCTGAAGAAAAAACAAAACAATGTACGGGATCGCGCGGAGCACTGCTGTTGTACCCTTCGAGAGATGAGAATGGCTCTTCGGGTTTGACATCTTATTATAAGTCGCGTCCAACGTACAAGCGAAGAGAAGAGGAGCGTGAGCCCTGCGTCTTGTGGTGTTTTCGAGTCGACATAGACTGCTCGGAAAACAGCGAGGAACGCTTCAACAGTCTTCACATCAAGCCACCTGTAGTCAAGCAACACAGCGGGATCGTACGGACGCACTGCCGCTCTGGTACGATTCTTCAGAGGACGCGCCGCCTGCTGCACCGAAAACGACGACCGACAAGCTTTTTCCCTGCCAAAGGGTGCTTCTACCAGTGGTACGCAGAAACAAGGACGAGACGTGTTTGGAACTTTCCGCGACTGCTTCTTCTGCTGTGCCCACCAGATACGCACCAAGTAGGGCCCTTGCCTACATCAACGACGCCACGGGCATGAACTCTCTCACGACCGACAGGTAGCACTCACAGGTAAAAATGTTGTAGCGGTAGGACTTGTTCAGGATGTTGTCGTGGATCTGGTGTGAAAGGCAACCATCCCAGCAAGCATCGGGCAGCAAGCAGCAAGCAACAAGCAGCAAGCAGCCAAGGGTATGAGGCGGACACGTCAGGGGTGGGGAGGTTGAACATAGCGCGATACCTCAGCAATGCCCAACACAACACGAAATGTGTCTGAGTACAGGTCATGCACGGCACGCGAGCCACACCGTTTCATACCGGGCAAGCGTAGACTTGAGTAGACTTTGCCACAGCAAACAGAAAGAGAACGCGGGCATTGATGTACTGCTGTATGCGGGAAAGGGACCATCCAGCTACCTGTATGCAACATCCACAGCAGTGCCGGTGTTTACCGAGCTAGCAGGCCAGGTGTCATCCCCATGAAATCAGCTTATGTCGCTTTGGTTGGGAACATCACGTTATTTAACAGAGTAAATAGGATTCCATGCATATACCGTACATGACACAAGATAACACACCCCCTGGACCGCCACGACAAAGAGGATGCATGAACGAAACGATACATTTTCGAAAAGCTCTCGACGAGACGGTTTCAACGCCGCCGTTTTCGGCGCTGTGACTGTTCGTGCAGTTGAGAAATCGAACTTCGAAAATCGGTCAAGGGGGTGTGTTATACTGTGTCACATACGGAATGTGCCCTGCCGCGGGGTAAGAGAAAAAAAGCAGCGCTAACACAACAGTGGCTCAAAAGCTGCAACTATTCATTGCTTCCCAGACTTCAAACTAAAACAAAGACGAAGGGGTTGGTTCAGCTGCAACTACAGCCGAAGGCAACGAAGAACCACGCACGTCATCCTACGTTCCCAGATAGAGGAGGGATGGGGGCAACGCAGCCAGGATCTACCGCCCGGTGACAGGTGGCCCTCTCCACTCACCCAGTTATATCCAGAGCCCACCGAGAAACGTATTCCGTAGCGGTTATTTGTGAAGACGTTGTTGTTCACGTCCATGTAGAATGACTCTAGCACGGCCATGCCAGCATCTCCGTTATCGTGAACGTGGTTGCCGGTGACGATGGCGTGGTCGGAGCTGCGATGCAAGAACAACCCGGTGTTGACCCCGTAACTGACGTGGTTGTCGATGATCCTCACGTGGTCACACCGCTTGGATGCGATGATGCCATGGTTGCCTGACGGTGTGGCGTGCGTTGCGGGGTGTGGCATGGTGACGGCAACCAAAATGAAAATATTGAGGTTTTGACATGGGATGCGCGTAGTGGTAGTGAAGCTCGGGATACGTTCTGTCGACAACGTCCGCGACTACTGTAGATACGACATTTGTGCTGAAGTTACGTACAACACCGTTGTTTCGAGTCTGAAAAGGGAGTCATGCGTTACTAGAACAGCGGTGAACCACTAGAGGGTGCGTGAAAACGAGAATCCGTCTAAAAATAGACAACAGAACTACATGCCATCATCGACCAAGCAAGAGCGAAAGTACACAAAGTGGTGAGTGACCATGCTCACCGTTTCCCCAAACGTCGTTCCCCACGATGTGTAGGTAATCGCTGTCGTCGTGTGGATCGAAGCCGTACTCCACGTTTTCTGCGGTGTGCGAGACATGCAAAGCGGCAACCATTCCGACATGTCAGTAGTGTCAATGTGTTGGCTATAGGGGCACAGTCACTGGGCGTATGCATAGCAAGCGTTGCTCATACTGCCGCAACGCCTAAGATTCATCTACCTTAACCCTAACCCTGTGTGACCCTAGATGGTTGCCGTTGTACGAAACAATACACCGAACAGTGTAGTACTCTCTACATACATACATGAAGCACGTGTAGTGAACGTCTCACCACGAACAATGGGGGGACTGTCGCCATAATTAAGTAGCACGAAAACACACACACACATACACACACCCTTGTGCAGGTGCAGGCTTTGTTTCTACGGGACGCCCCAAGTCATGTCGGGGCAGGTCGGATTCTTTCAACGGTTTTCACAAGAACCAAAAAAAAGAATGCCGAGTATCACAGGCGCTGAGCATATCTGTGCAACTGCAAAATACGACGTTGCTCTACAATAATCGTATCGAGTGAGCCACGGCGACAGTGTTGGTGTTGACTTCTGGGCACTCACCGTGCATGTTGTTGTATGACCAATTGCCTCCTTGATGACCGTAGCTGTAGTGGCCAAAGTCTGCACAAGAAAGCAACGACGTCCGGGTCATGTCAAGCGAGTCAGTCACTAAAAACGCCAACAGCACGAGACTCACTCGTGACCATGGCGGCATACAGCACACAGCACACTCCTCGAGTCAGACACAAGCCACCACTCATACCACTCATATGACGCCATGCCACGACAGCCAACAAGCAAGCGGGACACAATCGCAAGCCATCTACATCGCCAGAACGACACTGGGGAGTAGCGAATCAACCCAATGGAAGCAGTTGACAACAACGAGAAAAGCGGGTGCGGGTGTTCACGGCTGCAGTTGTGACAAAATGTGTCACTTAGTGAACACGCAAGACTCACAGTTGTGGTGTATGTTTGAGTTGATCATGTCGCCGTAGACGTTGACAAAGTCGAAAACATCGGGATTGCTCTTGTCAACGCAGAAGCCGCGAACCTGGTCGTTGATAACACACGACAGCAATACACGGACAATAATCGACGCATTCATGGGAAAATAAAGAAAGCATTTGACTCCTTTTGTTGGCTCAAGGGCTGCTAGTCATCTATTTCGTCCAGATGACGCATTCGAAAAAACAGCAGCACAGTCGATGCGGGTGTCAACTTCCGTTCATATCGCCGTCTCTAGTGTACCAGATGCTAATCGTATGGCCATCACCATCATCCCCGTCCTGGAATAAAATTAACTTTTGGCTCGTACGTACACATTCTGCTCAACTATTCGAAACTTGACGTTGTTCAACAACAAAAAACACATGGTGTCAAATTGCAATGCTTTCACCTTCCAGGTAAGGCCGTAGCTCTCAGACTCGTAGTACCCCAGGAAGGCGATCTCGCTGTCGATCACGTCCATGCGGGCTTCGCCCATCTCCGACTGCAACGTCACCAGATCACATCACAGCACGTCACACGGCACAGCACATTAGATGACACCAAGGTTCATCACGCCCCGTTCACACTACCACCATCTAAGACGTACAAAGTGCCGAAGAATCAGTCAGAGGAATAATATGAGTCACAGGCAGTGTCACGCCGAAGACATGAGCATTCTGCACGATGAGGGTTGGAATTTGACTTGTCACAACGAACGAGGATCCGAGGTGTACACGAACGCGTCTGCTGACAATATTTAAACAGCAGTAACGCGAGGGCTTGGACGTCGATGGCACACAAGTGAGACGCCCTGCATTGGGTGGGGTGTGACCAATAATAGAGTAGATAGCCCATAACTGAAAATACTTTCATCAGCGACGAGTATGAACAACCCTTGGACTACCAAAGCGGACCCCATCCAATGCCCCATCCAACTACTCGGCAAAGTCTACTTTGACGATGCCATCATGCTGTCACACCATACCATGCCGTACCAACCCATACCTTGGCTGTGCCGTTGCAGGTCTGGTTTGGGTCGTAGATGACCTCACTCACGGCGGAGATGTACGACCGCCCGTCCTCGTGGTTGGTGTCAACCGTGCGCTTGCCTTCGTTCCAGGACACCACCTGCAAGCATCGTATCGCAACCATTGATTGCATGATCTGCGACCGTTCATGAGACTATGGCGCGTACAGTTCACGCATCCCCATCCAACCATCGATGACGACGGACGTCACGAGGACCCATCCCATCACATCACATCCAACACGACTGCCTCTGCGATCTGTCTGCAGTCAGGTGCACCCAACGCATGCCATACTGCTGTAGGTACAGGGAGGAGTAGGGCGGGGCACGTGGCTCTTCGCGTATTCCATGCGTGTGAAAGTCTTTGGGTCCTTGTCTACTCTCTTGTTGCCTAAACTTCTGAAGATATCATCAAGTGAAGTGAGCAGTCGCAATGTAGCCGCTGAAACTTTGGCGAAAGTCGCCTCTTGAGGGTAGAGTTACCGTGACAATGACCACCCGTGGGCGAAGGCTGCCGGCCCAACCGCCGCCATGCCAAGGGTTGTCTTGTTTCTATCGAGTACAGAAGGCTGCACCATATGGCATTTTCATAGGAACGAAAAGTTGAAAGCATGTGTACGACCGTGCCTCAGACTCGTTTTACGCTGCGTTCTTCAACAAGGAATACTCTACATACCGCACCTTTGTTCCTAGGAAAGAGAAGCTTCCTCCGTGAGCCCTGAGGTTGATGAAAGTGGTTTCGTTACTCAACAGACGGAGCTCGTCGCAGTCGCCTCCTCTGTCGGTGCCGTGAACCTGTTGCAAGGCGGCAGAAGAAGAACGTCGAAATTTTGAGATTCCCGTCCAAAGCGTCAGTACTGCAGCACGACCGCCAACAAGAACAGCAGCAACTGGCAGAATTACTTTGCAATATTAATTATTTAATAATACTAGGAGTATTAGCACAAGCGGAAGAACGCCAAATATCAAACGACTTCGAGTCGTTGGAGGTGTTGGGACTGATCGAATAGACCAGTGTGTGCCATCATGAGCGTCAACAACACCAACCAAACTCGCAAAAACAGCCGGAAAAAAAATAATCAAGCGAAACTACACTAGGCCAAACCACCGCAAAAAAACACCTTGCGTCGACCGAATGAATTTGCGACACCGTCCATAAACAAGGCCTGACATGCCACAAAAAATACTGTGTGGGTTGGACCACCATCATGACTCATTGGGAGAAAGGAGGGGGAGGCATCGCAGAAGCAGAGTGCTAACCAATGGTACGACTGGTTGCAGTCACAAGACCCTTGCAATATTGCTGCACGGGTGCCTTGGTAGCCTTGGTAGACTGTACTGCTGAGAGGACGCTGCTACAATACATACAGTGCTGTTCGCAATCAAGTGGCAATATTCACATAGATGCTGTCACATATGTAGGGATGCAAGAGAATGGATGCAAGAGAATGTGATCAAAACCAGCGACAATAAGGTATCTACTGAGGTACTGAAGCGTTGCCAAGGATGGGGTTAAGGTAAAGGTTCAGGTTCGCATTGGTATCAACGGTGCCATCGGCACGAACATAAACCCTAAACCCACACCCCTCCGCGACGTTACCCGACCACAACAACTGGCACGACAGCAGTTGTGAGTACGAGAGTTATCTTCCATAAGATATGGTACGGAAAGACAATTCGTGCTAGACGCTACGGAAGCACGTGCTGTACCTGGAGGATGACACCGTCAGTCACGTAGAGTTCTTCCGTGAGTAACCACACGCCGGTCACATAATCCACCCCTGCCAACCATCGACCGTTACATCACAGCAGCGCATCACAAGGCACCGCAGCCAAAACCAGCGAAAAAGGTGGCATTAGAGAAATGCGAGACACACAACAAAAGGCTTCGCATAGCAGCAATGCAAAACCAACAGGATCGCGTCGCCATCTGAAGCGCGAACAACTACATAGCATGGCAAGCACGGCGATAGATAGATCACGACAACATAACAGCATATATCTACGGCACGCACCAGCAGTCTAGCTGTTTTCGCATGGTGGCACCCGAACGACATAACAAAACACGACGGACAAGCAGGAAGTAGCAACAGCTCTTCAGGAAGGGCAATCAAACAACTATATAATAAAAACGGTACCTGGTAGGTAGAAGCGATGCTGATGGTACGGGACGACCTCAGCTACGATTGATACGATTGATACGATTGATACTGATACGACTGATACGACTGATACGATTGATACGACTGATACGATTGATACGATTGATAAGATTGATACTATTGACACTATTGACACTATTGATACGATTGATACGATTGATACGACTGATACAGACCAGACCGACAATACAGCAGTGCCAATGGTGACAGCACAGCGGTGATAGAGTGCGACTCACGTTCGTTCGTGGCCGGGTCCAGTGGGTAAAGGGGCCGTGACCCGCTCTCCCAAATCTCCGTCAGCGTGAAGCAGCCTCCCCTGTTGGTGGCTTGCTCCAAGTAGATGCGCCTGAATGCCGCGACAAAAGTATATTTGCATATGAGTGGGTGAACTGGAAATTCCAACAGTAAGGCCCACATCATTTCGATGTGACTAAATTAGCCTGTTTTCGATATGACTAAATTAGCCTGTTTAGGTTGATCATAGCGACTTCTCTGGTGCGGGGTTAAAAACAACCAAGAGCAACAACAGCAAAGCTGCTGCAAAACACGTGGAACATGAAAAGTGATCATCATAGCGCACGACCGTGGCATATACCTTACCGGACGCGAGACGCGGCATGTAGACTATTTTGCTATCCAATCTGACCGACCCTCACCCTCATCCCTCATCCCTCATCCCTCATCCCTCATCCCTCGTCCCTCATCCCTCATCCCTCATCCCTCATCCCTCATCCCTCATCCCTCATCCCTCATCCCTCATCCCTCATCCCTCATCCCTCACCTCTGACCGTCAACACCCACGCCTCCCTTCATCTCGTCACAGCCTCAAATGCTACAAAAGGAGAGAATGCCCTCTGTGAGGGCGGCATGTACCAATCAATCACGCACGGCCTTCACCGGGCCGAGCGGAGGAATCGAAATCGATCTACTTTCAGTGTGTGGTCTCTCGGGTGCAAAAACGCGATAACAGCACGGTAGCCATCAATTGGGTCCGATGATGTAATGCCACGCACGCCGCTGCTATGACACCACAAGGTCGACCGTCGTGTGTGCGTGGGCGTGAGCGTGCCGTCCCAACTATTCTCGACACCAGTCGTGACCCCTCTTCCGGTATACGCTCTTGGCGCATCAGCCAGGGTCGCACGAGTTATTTTGTCTTTCTCCACCTTTCTTTTGCGGTGCTGGCCTTTGTATTGACTGCCAGGATTCAGTCGTCCCATGCATAGCCTCGGCAAGGGTCTGTTGCGAGTTTGGCTCCCAAACCAGACAAGGCAAGACACGAAGCAACACACTCATCCATCATGTTCTCTAGGCAACACATGGACCACAATGCTTACGCAGTCGTAGAGGCATAACGGACTTCGGGCACATCAACCGAGTCGCAGCCTGGCTGTTCGGGGGCGTAGTTTTCTTCTCCCCAGTCCGGCCAGATAGTGGGAAGGACCACCGGCTCGCTAGGCAGGTCTTCCACGGGGGGCGCCGTGACTGCACGAAACGAAAGAAAGCGTCCAAAGAAAGGATGAAAAAAAGGATTTCCAGAAAAGCGTCTGAGGCCTTTCACATTGTAGCATACATGTACTTGAACCGGTATGGCACTTCTGGAGGATGCAGGACGTTCGTCTGCTTGAAACAAGTCCACGTTTATCCAAAACGTTTCCGAAAATAAAGGTTTCTAAGTGACTCTAATATATTGGTTTGTGGGCGCTCTACGAGTGATACCAGTACACGAAGCACGAGTAAGGGCAAGATCGGTTTCAGAGATTCCAGACATTGAGTAGCCGTACGATGGCTTGACGCGGCTGTCGCACGCATGGTCCTTAGACTACACTCAACCAAGACGCGAAACCCAGACTGAGAGGCTTTCGGCGAGATGCGATACGGCACAAGCCATTGTGCGTATCCTTTGTCGAATACCCTGCAAGCGCCGTCGCAGCCGTGGTCACTGTGTTGACTTCATCCATCATTATCATATTTACCAACTGCGCACCATGACAGTGAATGACACCATCATCGAGGTAGACAAGGCCACCTGCGGTGTCATCTATGACGCCATGGTGCTCAAACTATTACATAATCACACCATCACATCATCACTTGACACTATGTGGTGACTGTCGGTGTTACGACCGCTGATATGCCGACCATTGTGGTATTCGCGTGGTGTGGTGTACCGTGGCTGGTTGGTCGCATGAGCCACACACACTTTTTTCCAGTCAATGGCGCGGCATCACACGCATTCTTGTCAACAGGCGCGGCCTGTAACATTCGCAAAACTTGAGGTAACCGTACCGTGCTTCCACGTAATCTGCTGCTGTCTCAGAACTGCGCTGGGACTTCTGGACGATTGTGTGCGGCCTTGTCACATGGCGGGGGGGGGTAACTGTAACTGTTGCTCCTACGTACCTGGGGGCCGTGGGTACAAGCTGACGTCACTGCTGTCGTAGAGTGCCGTGGGAGAAGGCGTAGAGTACAAAGGACGATCTTTCCCCCTGATCTCGAACTTGGGTGAGCACGAAGACCCGTGTCGGCGGATGCTTGACGATGTCGACACGCGGATCTTGTAGTTGTGGCTCGAGTACACGTTTGGCAAGGTCACCATCTCGGATCCGTCAGAGTCCGGGCAAGCCTGGCAAAATGAGCAACATGGCCCCATCACCAGCTGTCGTTCCAATCTCAGGGTCGGCGTATGACGATGGAAATTAGATTCTTTGCTCTTAAGTGTTCGACTAATAGGCACCGGAGAGAGTCACAACGTGCCTAAAGTGAAACGGTAGCAACAAGGTTGTTCATCCATGTCCCATCTATGGACGTGAAACAGCGAGAATTGATGACAAATGATGCCGACCCATGCACATCAACGTCGGCAGGAGTACCTCAACCACCGGCAATGACAAGAGTGCGGCGTTTGCATCACAACACGCACACATCGACACACGAGTCGAACAGAAAAAACGAAGGGGAGAGAAATTCGACACACAGCCTGCACATTACATCAACACCACAGGCTCGAGGAAAGAGAGGTCCAGGAAAGCGCCGCCGTTTCAGAACCCACGAGTGACGAACTCCAGGCTCAAGAAAGGACAACGATAAGAAGCTGGCCTGAACATGACCAGAAGAACAGGCGCTGAGTAAAGATTCCTACACAAAAACGAACATAGGTTGCTCTACCCTTCTTACCCTTCAGAGGAAACACAGAATGACCAACGAGCCTCGGGCAAGCAAGAGCTTCACTCCAAGTTTGGGCGCGTTCGGTATCGTACCACTTGCATGTTGGAATACTAAAGGTTACTCCACACATCACGGGGGAGGTTTCGCACCTCGCAAAGCCTGGCGACCATTTCCCCGCAGTCTCCGGTGATGGAGCATCCCCCGCCGCAATAGTAGAGGTCAATGTTGAATCGTGCGAAGGTTCTTCCGAGGCCGTCATCGAAGGACCACCTGTGTGTAGTGGGAAACGACATGCAACACCAAAGTTCGCAAAATATGGCACACACAGCGGGTCAGCGTTGGTGGTTCCAAGTCCATGAAGGATTGAAAACGCCGCATAAACCGATGCGATATTCCGCGCACAAGGAGAAGTGCGCATCCAGCATCATGTACTGCAAGCGAAATATGCAGGTCACATGTGTACCCTGGTCAAGATGAGTCAGTCCCCAGTCCTGTCAAAATAGAGTCCAACCTACCTGCACTATAATAGCATCATATGGCCGGCATAGCCAAGAAGCCTACTGTACGCGCAACAGGACGCCACGCGAAGCGTGTTCATCAAACCAAACAATGTTGGGGCACGACGTTAGCACGGACGTCTCCTCGTCTCCATAAGATCGATTCCAGCAGTGTCGACAGAGCAACGCGGCAAGAGGCTTTCTTGCCTCAGTCGCAAAACCAATAAACAAGAACCGTGTGCGAGACGAGATGCAACGAAAAATGACGTTTATGCATGATAACGCAGTATTTTAACATTATTAGCAACTTGGGACGAAAGCAACAGCTAGCTGCTCACGAGACCATGATGGTGTCGTTTGCAGCCGCAAAACCGGACGTTGTTCCCTCATCGTACAGCTGCGGATCGCCCGATGTCGAAGAGGACGACGCCAGACCCCGCCTGCCCTGCTCCATCACGAACGAAACCACCACATGTGTACAACAACACGGGCATCCGTCATCAGAATCCCGGCTTCACGAATTGCGCCACCCTCCATGAAGACGGAAACCACATCGTAACAGCCATGCAGACAAGAGCAGCGAAATTCCGTCGTACTACACAAGACTTGAGACACGAAGACTTGAGACACGCTGCGCACCACCGAGAACATGCCCAACACACACGACACTTCTGGAACATCCTCAGCGTCTCAGCACGAGAACAGGCAGCACGATGTGCGTGGACAAAAGAGAGTCGCAATATCAGAGTGGCGTGTGCGATCACACACCATAGCACACCACACCCCAAAGAAGCAACACAGCTATCCTACACTGTCCTACACTATCCATAGCAAATCATGCAACTCTGCCTGCCGTTTCGGACAGGCCTCGCCGTACAAGTACCCGCCCATACTATGGCATTTTCTGCTGGACGGCCCAAGGCGATACATGAACAAATAAAGTACGAAGTATCCGGTGCACTGCTAGCATGGTCCACCCACCGCTGTATAGCTATGGCTCTCCTCTACGGTCAAGGAGGCGTCATCGTCGTCCCCACCGTAATCATCAAGGTTGCCCCCTACACCGTCCACCACTGTAGGGGCGTAAACCTGTAAACAACGTCGGTAGGTATTATATTATGATAGTACAGCAAACACAGACACCAAGTGCACAGCGTCAGTACAACAGGTCCGCCGGGAAAAACGGCGAGACTGTGAGTACATTTCGGCTCTAGAAACGAATAGACTTGTGCACACAGTCCGCCTGTACCTTGGTGGCATGACTTTCTCTTGTCTTGTTTGTCTGGAAAACTCGTGTCCGTTTACTAGCTTCGGACTTCATTTTATGACGTCCACGAATGAAAAGCATATGTGTGGTGATCGCATCATATGAGCATATACCGCCTGTCTGCTATTCGTAACAGCACTGGTGTCCAGAAACACTCCTGACAAATTGATTCAAGCCACATCGATCAAACGCGTATGTAGATCACCTATTAGCTCTACTGCACTTGAGAAGCAAACCAGCGCACGGAACAGCAAGGGTGAGGCGCCCGACCAAAACTTGAGCGCGAGTTGCTCATGCTAAAGCAAGAGACACATACCTCCATTGATGGAATGGGGATGGTCCGGATGATGGAAAAGGTGGAGGTGCAGTCGTACAGAGACGAGTCATGCAAGCCAACCCTGTCATTGTTGAACGGTGCGTTCAGCGCCGTCTTTCAGCGTCAATATCGACAACAATCACAATCAATAACCAACCTCAAGCGTCAAGCACTATACGAATCGCCAAATCATCCATCAACGCTCAGCTTTCAATCACATTGTAAGAATGAGCTGGAGACGCTCTGTTCGACAGCTAACATGAAGTTCAGTACCCCACAGGTTACATTCGACACCAGCAGTTAATTAATCAAGACGGGACTCAACCAACGGAAGCCATTTTGGATGTTGAAGTTGCAGTATCGTATGAGATACCCATCTTGCGCGTCAGCAAACACCGCCATTGCGAAAACTAGGAATGCACACAAATGCACGTCTAACGTACACTAGCACGCACCAAACGCCGGCGCTGACCACCGTCCCAACACCATATTTCTACAAGCGCTTACGCCAGAGAGAGACTATCATAGCGCCCCTGACATAACACCGCAACACACGCCATCGTGAAGTCGCAGGCGAGGTTCATGCTTCGATGCCCTACATACTCTCCGTTGGAAGCGACGCGCTGCAAAGCTCGTTGTTAGTAAACTTGATCGACTTCATAAGTCGAGGGAAGGGATTGCTGTACCCTTCTCGCGATAAAAATATCTCAGGCAGGAACCGCAGGAGGGGGTCCAACCCCCCCCTCCTATGTGACCCCAGTTGGCTCGTCTAGCTGGTAGAAGTGGAGGATAGGGGCCAGAGGGGCAGACGACAGAGTCCAATGATGGGAGAAAAAAAAAAACTTACCCTTCAATACTCTACATACCCGTACCTGATCTTGTAGCCGTTGCCCGCGGGGAGTTCAGCCGGCACTGTCATCCGGTAGGTCCCCGACCCATCCATGCAGCCAACGCTGATCGTTCGACGGGTCCCACGAGGACAAGCAGACAACGTCGACACCATCCGATGACATTAAGGTATTGCGAGGTGCCTTGTACCATGGATGGACAACAAAATAAAAAGAAGTGGGCCAACGGCCGTCACGTGGTTGGATTGAATTGCCGAGCAACAAAACAGGCGAGGGGCGATGGGCTGAGCGTGCTGCAGCCATATATTCAATCCCCGGGGCCAGCTTGCTGTGCTTGCATGCACCACCTCTCACCCCGGCTTGTCGCAGATTTCCTGTAGGAAGGTGCCGCAGTCCTGCTGCCCGCAAAATGCGTCTTCACACTCGTAGAGGGCGATGTCGAACCTGCCTTGGGAGCCTTTGGCGGCATCAACACAACGTCGAAATCACGCACACAAGCAGGAACAACAACGGCCAACGGCAACGATCACATCAGGGAACTCCCTACGAGTGGGCCGTTATCACTTTCACACTACATACGAAGTATAATATCACGATCACCACCCAAGCAAGGAGTGCTGTAACCGCCGTCAACCAATAGTCGCTTCTTGTGTACCGCGGTGACCGTTTGGAGCTTGATTGTAGAACTATGATTGTCGCACGGTTGATCGATGGGCTTTCTTTCTGTCTTTCTTTCTTTCTGTCTTTCTTTTCCAATGCGCGTCTCTTGCTGTGTGCGCAGTGCGAATTTACGTGTCTCGTGTCGCCTGATGACAATGGCACTCACCGCCTTCCAAGAGAAAGGCACGTGATGTGCTTCCAGCCAGTAGGAGACCAATGCTGCTTGCCAGCGGTGAGATGGAGACAAAGTGTTCTCGATATAAGCGCAAAACACAAGGTAAATAGTACTGCTGGCACCCGTGGCGTGGGTTCCCTACACGTCCTCGACGTGACATTTTCCTATCGACGTCGAGCAGTGCCTCAAGAAATATTTCTCACCGCAACACCCACGGCACCCGTCATCGTTCACCACGGACATTGTACAGCAGACCAATTATCGGTGTTTCATGGAAGTTGTTTGCCCCAAGACTAGGACCTCATGGGTGAACAAGACAACACAACCAACCACAGAGTTGATTCAAAAGAAAGGGCGGGTACTAACGCGAAACCGGCGCCCTTTTCGTGTTGGCGCCGAGAATGCCCACTAAGCTCGTGATGCGCGCGCGATCGTTTGGTCACAACAATGCCCCGGGGTTGTCACCACAACCGTGCCCTTAGTCGTTGCCCTTGGATGGCTTCTGTGTTTCGCTGTTCATTTGTGCACGTTGTGCAAAGGCACGGTTTGAACGGATAGTCAAACCTTGAGCAAGTTGTGGCGCTGTTCGGTGGTGGTTACACGGGGAGGTGATGTTATGATGTTATTATTGGTTTCTGTGCCTTTCCATGCGCCATCCTTGCCGCGTAGCAGGTGGAAATACATGTATGCACGCAGAGAGAGAGAGAGAGAGAGAGAGAGCGATAGATAGAGAGAGAGAGAGAGAGAGAGAGAGAGGGAGAGAGAGAGAGGGAGAGAGAGAGATCGTCAGACACCCAGCTATGGTGTAGAGCGCTGTAGTGTGCAACGTACAGCCATCGTCCTCTTGGCATACATGAGAGGAGAGAAAGCAGGGGCAGTTGTTGGGTGTCGGGCGAGATTCGTAGTGCTCGTGATACTCTCCGTGCTTTCCCAGAAATTGTCTGGCTCCGCTGATGCCAAGGCCTCCCGCGCAGAAAAGAAGGCATGCACGCGCGAGAGAGTCAGTTTTTCTTCTTTCTTGTCTCGGGGAGAGAGGGAGGAAGAGACCCCCCTCCCCCCCTTAAGAGTACATGTTCTTGGTCAACCCCCCTCCCAACATCGACCCACCGATACTAGATATAAATCGTGTGTGTTTTTCTAATTGGCATCGACCACGATAACCGGATGACTTGTGGGTAGACGTCTACAAGTATGTGAGCGTGACAAAAAGCAAATGCCTTCTGAACTTCTGAAATCGCGGAGTCCCCCCCGCAGGGGGCACCCCCAGGAAGCAGACCGAGGAACAAGCTTTCAACCTCTGGAATCAAGGAATTATTGCGATAGAACGGGCAGGCAATGCTGGTACGGTAGGATCTCCCGTGGCACCTACTGCTGTGTGCAGTATCCAACGTCCTCCAGTCGACCTCTCGTTGTTCGAACTTGTACTTGTGCGTAGTGGCACTTCCGCTGTTCATTGGTAACCCCGGCCGTTCGTGATTGCGACTTCCTGTGCACCTCCACTGATGTAGAAGTATTTGATTGACGGCATGCTCTTCAAAACATGTACTTGTGCCCCAACCACACACTGCTCGATGCAGGCACGAGGAGTGAAGAAGAGGCCCCATCGAAAAGAAAAAAATCGTGCCACTGCTGTCTACCTACTGCTGTCCCATCGCTACACCATCTCTGTCGGTGATGCATAAAAAAAAACGTTCCTCACCTCCGTTGCCATCCTCATAGCTCCATCGAATCACAACCTCCTCCTCCACCCCTAACGTGTCTGGCGTGACGACGCTCAATACCGCTCTATCCTCTGCACTTCCCGCGCACGGCGCCACCTCGATTGCCACCACAAAAGCAAAGAGGGCTGCCCTTCCCAGTCCCATTGTGTCGCAGCTAGCCTCTCACGAGGAATCTCACAGTCCCGAGCACGTGGTCCAAAGTCAAGCGTTCAGAGAACCAATGGCCTTGCTGTCCAGCGCTGGTGGACACACCCTTCCACATACAGCAGTAGCACACGCTTCCTGGCGTTTTGGTGGTGTTCCCTTCGGATGATCTCTTTGCAGCCGTTGACACTACCCAAGCCCGTTGCACCAACTTTGGTGGCGACACGAAAAATATGATCCGAAAAACGATTTTGCTCCTTCTTTCGGTTTAGGACCTGCGTTGCTGAAGCCCTCCAACTCTGCAGCCCCTCGATAGTCCGTACGTGCGCTACCCGTTCCCCTTCGGTGGCGCAATCAGATCGAGCTGTTGGGGGACGTGAATGTCCTTTGTAACGCTGGCAGACACAGCACAGCAGGTACACCAAACCACACCAAACCCAAGTGTTCTCCCGCCTGCACGTCCAACCCGGTAACCCCGGGGACCTTTCCATGGTGATCTGCCGTCCCCCCCGAAAAAGTCACAGAGGCATCATCCTGTCATCTCCTCTCGGTATCGCTGGAAATCCGGCAATCTGAACCCGTTCTCGCGCCACATCACACATTACACCCTCGCAGTGCGACAAGACATTCTCGCCGGGCCCACTGATCGAGGTTCAGCAGCGACGGCGTTGTGTTTTTGGAGTGAGTCGACAACAAGTACAAGGCTGGGCATCTACTGCGCTGTAGACTGGCAGGAAGCTTTATGTCAACGAAGCGCGCCGGGGGTTCATCCGTGGTCAGTCAAAGACCGCGGAAGTCGAGGAAGAAGCAGTGCGAGGAAGGGTTAGCCTGTCCCTTTCAGGTTGGTTCGTTTGATTGTTAGACCTAGCGTACAGCAGTAGATGATATTACCTCTTGGCCGTACTTCGTAGTCAATGCCTACACATACATGAGACCAGTTCTTATGGAAGGTTTGCAGTTGCTGAGATTTGGGTTTGTAGTTGTTGTTGTTGTTGTTGTTGTTGACTTCACATTAAACCGTATGCCAGTTGCTAAATGCCAAAATCTAGCGAAGACTCTCAGCCCGTGGTCACGAAAGTGCTAGAGCCATCTGAGGATCTAAAGAACACGCACACGTAGCAAGAAAAAGGTATCCAAGAGCCCGAAGAGGTACTACTACACCTATATATAATCCCTGCAGCACCGTACGCGTGCCCAAAACTGAACTACACGTCCGTCTCACCGTTCGACTACAG